AGATTGATGTGTCTATAAAAAAAATTGTACTTACTTGTAAAGGGACATCAAGGGAGCAAATATACTTGTAGATCAAAATGGCCGAGTAATCAAGTTGGCAGACTTTGGCATGGCAAAACATGTAAGTTATGAGATAGTTACTATCGTTAATTTCTGCATTGAAACTAAATAAGTTAGATATGTAAGCTTTATTCTGGTGCTTATGTCATGAATTAAGGATGAAACTCATTAATAAAGTCCAATATTTTTGAGGATTCTGGCTTTTCAGAACAGGAGAAACTGCAGTTTTGCAAGTATACTGAGGGTGACTGATAACAAAGAAAAACAAATGAACAGGAAAAAAATCTACCTATAAAAGAGAATGGTAGATGCCAGAATTGATGTAGAAGAGAAAGTAGAAAGGGAAATTCAAGAAAATCTGGTTCTCCCACCTGGAACTGCCATTCTTTTGCAAATGTATTATTAATAATGATGTCCCCATTCAGTGCTGTAAAGAACAATCAGTTAGCTGATTTTCTTCCTGTTCAATATTCTTTAATCTTACTTTCTAGGAAAAAAAATTATATATTTTGTAATTCACAAAATTACCCACATGACTGCTATTATTGCAAATTGTATTGCAGTTGGAAATAATATATCTCCTTTTCTTTTTGGCATTTCCTGCTTATGGTACAGTTAGTGTGAGATTGCTTGACTTGTTCTTTTTTTCTATTTTATGCCTTGTATGGTTTGCAGATAACAGGGCAATCATGTCCATTATCATTCAAGGGAAGTCCTTACTGGATGGCTCCCGAGGTATATATTTCTTCTTTTAGGTTCAATTCTCTGCACATATAATTATGTTTTAGTTTTGTGAATCAGTGTCTCTGCTTTCTGTTTCTCTAGGTCATAAAGAACTCTAGTGGTCGCAACCTTGCTGTGGATATATGGAGTCTTGGTTGCACAGTTTTGGAAATGGCTACAACTAAGCCTCCTTGGAGCCAATATGAAGGGGTAGTTATTTTTGTGAATTAATTGCATCTCTTATATTTTCCCCTTTCCATGTGAATCCATCTGCTCATTCTTTTTTTGTTCTAGAAATAACATTTTTAATTTTTTAAATCATAACATGGTATGTTTGAAATGGTGAGAAGTTATGGCATTAGCATATGTAGCAATCTAGTGGCAGATGGAGGATTATTCATAACTAAAATAAAGTTTATCGTAATATGGCTTGTCTAGATCATGTACGCACACATGCTAAACACACGAGTTTTGCTATTGCAAGTATCTAATAGATTATTCTTTGCAACAGGTTGCTGCCATGTTTAAGATTGGTAATAGCAAGGAACTCCCAACAATCCCAGATCACCTCTCAAATGAAGGAAAGGATTTTGTTCGGAAATGTCTACAACGTAACCCACAGGATCGTCCTTCAGCCCAAGAACTGTTAGACCACCCTTTTGTAAAATGTGCTGCGCCTTTGGAAAGACCTATTCTTGGTGCTGAATCATCAGATCAGGTCTCTGTTATTGCGCTTGGAGCAAAATCTCTGGTAATATTATATTCTATCTCCAACACATAAAATATAAAAAATCTTTTTTCCTTTTCCCTGGATGCTATTTCCATATTCTAATGATAAAAGTGGGGGTGGGGGGTAGCATGTTTGTCTTTCACCATGTGTCATGCTTTTGTATCAAGTTATCCCTCTATCTTGTTGCTATGCATGATAGAAATGAATAACAACTATCTACCATGCTTCATGAAAATATAATATTAATTCTTTGTTGCACTTTAGCCTTTTACGGCTCTTAAGGTTGAGAGTGTGGTCTTGGCATGTAGTTCTATGAGAGACTAGAATATAGGTTTAAAATGCAAGACCTTTATTCTCATTTCCTCTTCCAAATTTAAAACCTTGATTCTTTTGCATTTGTATGAAGAAGAAAGGATTCTGGCTCTTGTTTGTTTGTATGTTTAAATAAATAATTCCGTTAATGATTGATGTCAGCAGAATTATGATTTTTTAAATGATAAAGATAGCAAGGCAAATTATATGAAGTAGTTCCTTACTTCTCTTTAAGATATGATTTTTCTAAGTGATAGAGGCTAAAGTAGGAATTAGACTGGGCTACTTCTCCATCGGATCAAGCTGGAATTTAACCTTATCACATGTGGCTTGGAAGAAGGAAAAAAGCTATAAATATTGCAATTGTTTTTTCATGTCTGTTATGCCCATATGCCCCATTGGAGGCTGCACACTGCATCCAGTTGAGGCCTTTCATGACCTGTTTAGAGTTTGTTGTACAACAATAATTTCTTCCCGTGTATTGCACAGGCGTCATAATTTAAGAGAATCATAATATACCAAATTTAAGTTTAGATAATTCCATGCTTGTATGCATTGAGATGTTTATCGCAATATTGAAAATTTAAGTAGTCTTTGGATGAGATGAAAATTTGAGCGGCATGGAGATCAGTTTCATAAGAACTCAAAGCTATTGAAGGACAAGTCAACTGAACAATGTTTGCCATTTCTCTTTTACCCCCCCCCCTCCAACCTCCGAGCGCCCCAAAGATGCTTCTGGAAATAATAATAATAATAATAACAACTGAGAACATAAGCCCACATAGGTTGCTTAATCCCACAGAAGTAAGGCCAATAGAGTTATGAAGTTTTTTAATATACAGGTTGCCCTTTTGTTTCCTGTTATTATATTAATTGCATCCATCTGTGATGAATATTCAGGGTGCTGGACAAGGAAGAAACCTCTCTGCCCTGGATAACGACAGGCTTTCTGTTCATTCGTCAAGGGTGTTGAAAATTAACCCGCATGCGAGGTCTCTCTCATTCTCTCTCTCTCTCTCTCTCTCTCTCTCTCACACACACACACACACACACACACACACGGACACGCACACAAATGCGCACATGATGTTTGCTGATGTTTGGTGTCTGAAATAATTTCATTAATCTCCAGTAATGAAATCCATATTCCAAGGAATATTTCTTGCCCTGTCTCTCCCATCGGAAGCCCACTTTTGCGGTCAAGATCACCACAGCACATGAATGGGAGAATGTCTCCCTCTCCTATATCTAGCCCCCGTACAGTTTCTGGCGCATCCACACCTCTCACTGGTGGTAGTGGTGCTATTCCATTTGGCAATCACCTGAAACAGTCAGCTTACTATCAAGAGGGTCTTGCAAGCTTGCCAAAGCACTCAAATGGTATCTACATTAGTAACCCTGCTCATCATGACTCGAGTGTTGACATTTTTTGCACCCAGCAAATGGGGTCTCAAACAGAATTGATTCTGAGTGACAATGATGTTCTGGGGAAGCATTTTGCGAGGCCTTCTGTTGAGCCTTATGATGTTCAGTCAGTCTTGGCTGATCGTGTTTCCCGACAGCTACTGGGAGATCATGTTAAAATTAACCCGTCCCTGGATCTTAGTCCCAATTCTTCTTTGCTCAACCGGTCAAATGCTCTATGACTTGAGTCATTTTCCTGGACTTAGTCCAAGCAATCCTTCAAGTTTGACTGAAGATCATCTGGTTGCACAGGTCTGTTAATTGTTCTAATTACTGAGGAAGTAATTGTACAATAAGGAGAATTAATGTAATAAATTTGGATCTGGGAATAGACTTGCTGGGACCACACAGTCCATTTTCTTTGGCATCAAGCTCAGGCATGTGGCGTTCATATCTTTACTTGTTGAGCAAACTAAACCACGTTATGAAACTCTCTGACATGATTCATTTATATCAGCTTACACATAGTCGTTCTGGAAAAGAAGTTTGCAGTTATCTGTAGCATGTTTAGGATGCACCATCAACTTATGAAAGGTTGAGAACTTGAATGATTTAGAAGCGAAAAAAGTTGAATTGGTAAAAACTTTAGCTTGTGGACTATTTTGGGAGGTCGGTTATTGGTACATAAAGATGGGAAGCTGGATTGGGTTCCTGCATTTGTTGATGTGAAGTCGAAGACTTGAAGGACCCCGTTCATCTGCTGCTGTGCTTGATGCGGGTTCAGGTGTACTACTGTCATTGAAGACCTTATTAAAGGATCAATTATGTACATTGTTAATTGAAGTAAAATGGATGAAGTTTGATATTGTGATCCTCTCATCTGGTTTGTACAGGGCTTATTTGGTGGGTGAACCTTCTGTTTTCGTTATACATCTTTGCATGTTGATACAAGACTGATCTGCTGGCAACTTTCTTGACATGAAATTTAGATAGAATTGATCTACCAACAATTTGGTAGGCTAAAACCACAGTGGGAATCAAATATGTTAGTATATTTTTTTGCAATGAAATCAACCGTGTGTTTTTTTTTTTGTTTACATGTTGATCTATGTTCAATTTACTGTTGTTAGGCAAATTTGAATCTACCTGAACAGGTTATGTTGGGAATTGTTCGCTGCCGGAAGCTAATTCTTTTTCAGAATCAAATTGACAGGTTTTTTGACGTTACGTTCACAACTTGACACTTTTTTTTAAGACCTTGAGTTCACGACTTCACATGCAACACCACTGTATATACAATTAAAATGATTGGAAATTATGTTTAAAAATTCTTCTCATTGCAGCCAAAATATACAGGAAGAATTACTTTAAGCTCTTACTCAAGACAATTAATTACTTTTAGGTCTATTAATAACTGAGTTTAGGAGAATGAAAATACATTTGTATTGGGTGGGACTTGTATGTAATTCTCCCAAATATACACACATATATACCTAAATTAAAAGTACTCCAAATATAGGCGTTAAAAAAAAAAAAAAAGGTTTTCGTAGCTTGTTCAGTTCAGTTCACTTCGGTATGTGCACATCGTCCATTCGGTTATTTTGATTTTACGAATTGTCCTACCGAACCAATGGGCACAACCTCCTAGCCAAAAAAAGAAGAAAAAAACAATTTTAAAGCATATTACAAAGTTGGTCAAAAAAAAAAGCATATTACAAAAGACCCTACTAGTTAAGTATGCCAGACTTCAAAATAACAAAAGTAAACGCAATTCTAAAATGCATCGTCCGCCAGTTAAACATAGAATGGCCAAACAAAATTGTTATTACAAAATTTCAAGCATAAATTAAGCTGAACCCATCTCTAAGACATGAAAATCATTTACCACATCAAATAAGGCTTTTCAAATATCTAGCAAGGTGTGGTGTCATGCAGCGAGATAGTGAGATTCAGTGAGCAGGAATGTTTGTTTAAATCTTCATTCACATGACCAAACGCCAAAGCAAAAATTACACATTAGCCTTTAGGAACCTGAAATCAACTTTGAACCAAGTCTGACGTATATTCCCAGAGTTTCCTTGCCAAATCTGGATCTGATGCTTGTAAGCTTGTTTCAGCTGCATTACAGTCAGCAAAGTAACATCCAGTTATCCCTTTAACTTGTGGATGCAAAGCCACATAGCATGTGGTTGCTGCCCCCTATATAATATGAGGAAAAAGCAGACTCGATAAGTTCCATTAAAGCTTTAACTACATGATGCAGAGCCAACCGGTAATTGAGGCATATATATCTCTGCTCAAATTCCACGTTTATAAATGATAAATACAAGTAGCACCATAGCATGCTGATGTTAAAAAACGTTAAATAAATTTTGAAGTACTCTAGGACTTAAAAAAAAAAAAAAACAAAGATGTATAAGTGAAAAAACTAGACAAACTTGTATGTATTAAATATAAAAAATAAAAAGAATTATTTTTATTTTATCTATCAAAATTATCAAGCCCGATTCATTTAACTATATAAAGCTTAACGGGCACGGTTCTTTTAGGGTTTTAAAAAGGGAAAATGATAAGGACACATTCAAAAATTTAATTAGGGAAAAGGGCCAAGACTTCTCTAGCCAAAAACACGAAAGAAAAAGTGCAGCATACAGAAGCTCAATTGCAGAACATGTAAGATAAAATACATATTCTTCTGTGTTATCGAAAAAAGATCTAGTAAAAAATTTTCATTTTAGCTTCCATATTTTGCTTTTTTTTTTCTTGTGTTTTTGGTTGGAGAATTCTATGTCCTTTTTTCCAAATATTTTTGCCATTAGATCCTTAATCCCAATTTTTCCTAAAAAACCATGCTTGATTCATTTTCAACATGGAAAGAGACTGTCCAGCTGTTCTTCACTCTGATTTTTTATCAGAACTTTTATTTGGTCTTTCTATTTGAGTTTTTACTTGCTCTCTCTATTTTAAGATTTCATACCTGAAACTTTCTGTACTTATTTTCTGTCTTAGTACAATTTTTTTCTTTTATCCAAAATATACAAGCTTTATATGTTCACCCGAACTTGTTCATTCAACAAACAAATCAAACCAAAACTCAGGTAGCTCATAAATAGCTTATTTAGAGCTCTATCCTCCCTTTCTTTTGTTTCCCATAAACATCAGTTACCTGGTGTATATTTTTCATCACAAATTTTCCAAAGAGTCCAACTAAGCCTGCATAAAATAAGACCAAAATCATAATTTAATAAGGTCACCTCATTAGAAAAAAAAATGAGAAAACAAGAAAAAAATGCCATATCTAACATGAATATAAGATTAATGTACAAGGGGTGGTCTTAAATCTTCCACACAGATTAGTACGGAAGCAAAGGGCACCACCAAAAAGGACTCACCATCAATCAAGCTGTGATGACGGAATAGATTAGTGGCAATTGCTCCTGGGTGAAGTGAATTTGCAGTTATGTCCACACCCTCCTCCTGTTATTGGTAAACATCAAATAGTTAGACAGCCATTGAAATGTGCTAAATCACATTTGATAGGGAGAAAATTGTCAGAATAAAGAACTTCACATTTCACATAAAAGGAAAAAGAATGCAATTCATGATATGCAGGAGAGACCTTTTAGGCATACAGCACCCTACCTATGTGATTGGTGTTACATATTCAAATAAGGTTGAAGACACAATGGCCTATTTGACCATCCATGACTGTTTCTAACTGAGAAAGCACTGCGAGATACCAAGTTTCTTGTGTAGTATGTGCATCAGTATAGATAACAGCAACAACCATATGAAAGTTCCAGTTATAATGAAGCAAGAACATCCATAAAACCAAATGCCATCCAGGATCCTAAACTTCCACATGCCTTGACTAGAACCTCCTTTAAACCTACCCCAATTATCACACCATGACCACTACCCAAAATTTTTAGCAGCGTATCATTCATTCATATCTGTTGGTGAACAAAACACATTGAAGAAGGCGGGCTTGATATCACACCATTTAGTAGTTCTTTTTAATATTAGGCTTGTATTCATTTTATTCTACAAAGAATTAACTGGTTCAATTTTACCGTATCTTTCTCTTATGTAAGCATGTTATATGTTGAACCTTTTGCAAGTTAGTTAAGGCATCTAATTTTTTAACATCCAACCCATCTATATATGTTTGGCTTGAATATTTGGAACAACAAGAATTAGAGTATGAAATATGTGAATTTTTTTAATGGCGTCAGACTCAAAAAGACCTAGATACAGAGAAACAAGTGACTTCATCCTGGAAACCTTGGATTTTCATTTGATCTATCAAAGCTCTCCAGTCATGACAACTGGGCACCTGTTGGATGGTAACAATTACCTCTATTGGTCCTAAAGCATGGTTAGATTTATCACAGCATCCAGCAAGGAGGATTACATCCCTGATGATGCTGCCCCTCCAAGTTTCAACAACCTCAAGTACAAAATCTAGATGTCCAAAAGCAATCAAATCATGTCAAGGTTGATCAACTCAATGATGAATGAAATTGGAAGGAATTTCCTTCTGCACAACAAAACAGTCTTCTGTGAAGAATAGTGCTGTACTGTTGTTTGAGATTAAAAGTCAACTTCATAAATTAAATAAAGGTGATTCAAATATTACACTCGTTATAACATCTTTGTTTATTTTTGGCTGCAGATTGATATGTTTTAGACACAAATGGAGATGCAGCAGTGAGGCAACATGTCCTGGAACATTAGTGGAGCAGGATAAGGTCTATAAACCTCTACTTGGCCTGAATCCAATACTTCAAGATATTTGGGGGAGAATAATGCATTCACCTGCTATGCTCCCTAGAGAAATTTTCTACAAGTAAAAAGAGGAAACCATGGAGAGTCTCATCCAAAGTGGTAACGAACAGCATCTTACCAACGTCTTCTGTATTATTCTCTTACACAGACAAACAGCTAGCAGATTTTACCTGCTAACAGTATCTTAAAATAAGTCATTCACCTTTAAAAGTCTTGCAAGCTCATTAGCGTGAAGAACATTAGCAAGCTTTGACTGCCCATACGCAGACAAGCTGTTATACCTGCACAAGTGAAGATCATTGATATCAGAGATTGTTCAAATTCATCTAGAACTTACCTAAGAAGTGGAGGAGCAGGAGGAGAATTCGTCGTGCCTAAATATCAGAAATGGACTGAACTGCAGTTTGGACCACCTAATATAGAGTTACCCTGATTTTTCATTGATTTTATTAAATCGAACCCCTTCAGGATATGAGAAACGGTGACGTCTTGATGAGACATTTATAATCCTTCCCTCTTTTCTATGTTCAGTGGCAGTTCGTTTCATTGTATCCAACAAAAAGTTTGTCAAAAGAAAGTGACCTGCAAGGAGAGGTCCTTACATCTCAAATTCTCTCATAAAGCAGTTCTCTGCGTGTATCACAAAGATAGTAATAATGGCCATATATTGTCTATGATAAAAAGGAAATAATAATAATAATAATAATAATAATAATCATCATCATCATCATCATCATAATACACACATGAACTTGTTATCGTAGACAGATAACAATAGCAAGGGGACCTTGCCCCAGTCCTTGGCAGTACACAAGTTCAGTTCCCAGAGTTACACTAACACTCTCAACTATATATGCTGACCATTGTTATACTTAACAGTTTAGATTAATTGAATACATTCTCAAATCCAAAATCCTCTATTATATCAACATGGCAGTAGAGCCCACCATTGCTGGGAGTCTCCAATCCTGAGACGGAGAAGGATTTGGATGGTGCGTTGGATTTAGAGAGAGATTATCTAAATATAAAAATAAGTCTACAGAATAGGTTATAAACCATCAGACGATTATATTATATATGCATCAAATTCTACATATCATGTGAATCTAAATCCTTGCATTCAATCATAAAAACCTCACCCATGTGGTTTGTCGCAAATTGTAGTTCTATATTATCTTTGGAAAGCTTGAATGGTGTTGCCATGATTCCTGCGTTATTACTTAGAACAAGAAACAAAAGGAAGGAAGAAGAATTTTCTCAATGACAGACCAAGAACACAAATTGATAATGATGAATAATGAATGGCCAAGACCACAAAAAGACGCTAGCATCTATTGCAACTGCCTAAGCATTTGCAGTGCCTTACATTAGCAAATTTAAGGGAAGACCACAAGAATTGAATTGCTTGGCAAAATTTCTGACTGATTCCATTGAGCTCAGGTCCAGCTCCATGACATCTATTTTCGCTTTGGAGTTATCATTATCTCTCATCATCGCCTCCTTGATCTGTCTACCAGCTTTAATATCTCTGATCCCCATAACTACATGGACACCACGTAAGGCAAGTACACGTGCAGTTTCAGCACCAATTCCGCTAGTTGCTCCTGCAGCAACACATCCCGCCCGGGTAAAGGAGTCATCCGTACCAGATGCTCCGAAGGGGGCAAAAATTAAAAAAAAAAAAAAAAACCATCTAGCCACTCATATTCTAGCCACAAGTAAGAACGTCTGCACCATTACCAGAAATGAGAAATTCACTAACACCTAGTCTTCTCATTCCTACTGACATCATTGAATTCGAAAACATTTTTCAGTCCGAATCAATCATACTCATTAATTTGAAGTTTTAAGTTGATGACATGAAGGACAATCTTCATCATGCCACGTATCATGAGAACAGAATACCCATCATAACAAGTAAACAAAATTTCAGCAACAAAACGAATGAAATTGAAGAAGGGAATTTCCCCCTTCTACTACCATGTCTTTCGATCAATCAAAACACGTTGCAGAGTGAAAGTCCTTCCACATTATGCTCATCACTTCAAGAATAATTACACACAAACAAAAGAGACTTGAGCACGCTCATAGCCACCGCTGAAAGATTAGGCTAATAGTGACCTGTAACAATGGCAGTGAGGCCAGTCCCATCAATTCCTCGAGTGACTTCCTCGGCCGTAGAAGAAGCTGTGAATCCAGATGGTCCCTTTTTGTTGAACAGCCACATTTTCTCTCTCTTAAGCTCTTTCTAATTCTGCTCAGTCAATAAAAACTCCCCCCCCCCCCCGGGGGATTGCGATAATTCCATTCCACGATCTTCCAGCCCCCGAAAGAATTCATGAAGGAGGTTTTTATTTGTTCATTATTGATTTTTGGATAAAGTAATATCCCATCTCCCTAATTATAAAATAATGATAAAATATATCTTACATATCTTTATATTTTCATTTAATTTTTAATTAAATTTTTATAATTTATTTTATTTTAATTAAATTCTTATAATTTATTTAATTAAATTTTTTAATTTTTAAAAATTAAAATCCTTACATTTTTTATTTTTCCTTAAAAAAGAAAATTAAAATTTTTTATATTTTTTAAATAATTATATGAATTTAAAATTAATTATATATTTTTTATAACTCATAATTTATATAATTAGATTGTCTTTTAAGTATTTTTTTATACATCTAAAATTTTTATAAAAAATTATAAAAAGTGGATTTAATCAAAATTTTTTCAATTTTAGCTAAAAATATTAAATTAAATTTTTTGTAAACTTCAATTGTATTTTTATTTTGTAAAATTTGATAATTCATTATTTATTTTAACCTTCAAGAGTTCAATATATACAATAGATAAAATTATAAGAGTTTCATTAAATAAAATAAATTATAGAAATTTAATTTAAAATTAAATGAAATTGTAAATATCTGCAAGTATATTTTTAAAAAATAATTTTAAAAATATTTTGTTATCTTAAACTATAAAACAATAAAAATAAAGTTTTTCAAAATAGAAGACAACGAAAATAAAGGCTCCTAAAATATTAAAAAATAAAAATAAAATTTTATTAAAAGAAAATATATCTACATCTCTTTACATTTTCACCTAATTTTTAGTTAAATTTTTATAATTTATTTTATTTTAATTGAATCCTTATAGTTTAATCAATTAAAATTTTTAATCTCAAACAATTAAAATCCTTACATTTTTTATTTTTCCTTTAAAAAAAATTAAAAAATTTTATATTTTTTAAATGATTATACAACTTATAAATTAATTATACAATTTTTATAACGCAAAATTTATATAATTAAGTTGCTTTTAAATATTTTTTATACGTGTAAAATTTTCAGAAAAAATTATAATAAACATATAAAAAGTGGATTAAATTAAATTTTCTTTTCTTAATTTTAACTAAAAGTATTAAATTAAATTTTCTACAAACTTCAAAAGTATTTTTTATTTTGTAAAATTTAATAATTTATTACTAATTTTAACATTTAAGTAGTCAATAGATGAAATTATAAAAATTTGATTAAAATAAAATAAACCATAAAAATTTAATTTAAAATTAAGTAAAATTGTAACAACTTGTAAGTATATTTTTTTAAAATAATTTTAAAAATATTTTGTTATCTTAAAATATAAAACAATAAAATTAAAGTTTTCCAAAATATAAGACAACAAAAATAAGGGCTCCCAAAATATAAGAAAAATAAAAATATAATTTTACTAAGAAAAAACATATCTCTAAGTCCTTAAATTTTTACTTAATTTTTAATTAAATTCTTATAGTTTATTTTATTTTAATTGAGCTCTTATAGTTTAACTAATTAAAGTTTTTAGTCTCCAAAAATTAAAATCCTTAAATTTTTTATTTTTTATTTTAAAAAAACAATTAAGAACTTATTATATAACTTTAAAATTAATTACATAATTTTTATAGCTCAAAATTTATGTAATTAGGTTGTCTTTTAAATTATATATATATATATATATAATTTTCATAAAAAATTATAATAAAAGAATAAAAAAGTGAATTAAATCAATTGTTTTTTCAATTTTGGCTAAAAGTATTAACCAAACTCAAAAAGTATTTTTTTATAAAATTTTTAATAATTTATTATTAATTTTAACCTTCAGGCCAATATATATAATAGATAAAATTATAAAGGTTTGATTAAAATAAAATAAATTGTAAGAATCTAATTTAAAATTGAATAAAACTTTAAAAACCAAGTACATTTTTCCTTTTATTAATAATATTTTTTTTAATATTATCTTTCAATTATAAATTCAAAAGTATATCAAAGTAAAAGTATTTTTAGAGTATACTGAAAAAATAAATTTATAAATTATTATTATTGAACTTATAATTTGGACGAAAGTAGTAAGACAAGGATAATCTCGTTGTAAAATATAATGGTAAGTTATTAAAAAAACCACATGATAATCATATTAAAAGTTATATTTGCAAATCCATTAAAAAAGTTTATCATCCAAATCTAATATTAAAATTTTTCAGGGGCAGATGTCATGTCCGGTGAGTTTATTTTTTGAAAGAATTATGTATAAATCCCACTCAAGTTGTCATTAAAAGCTGTCATTCTCTCAGGCTAAATTATTACAATTGTCAATGAATTTAAGAATAATTAATTATCTAGATTTTAAAGTAATTCTCTCTTAATTTTTTCAAGGGAAGATGTCCCATGAGCTTTTTTTTTTCCCCTCGGTGACAGAAGTCACATTTTTGGAGCCACATGGCAGATGTTCGAATTCAATTAATTATTCCGAAACTTCCTCACTAATACTGTGCTAGAAGATGCATCAATAGTTCATAATATATTTTTTTTTAATATCAATATATTAAAAAGATGATAATGAGAATTAATACAGATGGAGCGTTGAGCGTAGCGAGAGGCTAGCTATCGTTGTAAGGGACCAAGACCAAGTTCAAATCACCAAACACTTGTGTCCTTTCTCTATCCTCCTTTGTAATAAGAATTCAGTTACCCAATGGAGCATATGCGTAAAACCTGAACCAAAGTTGATGCTGTTGATTCTTATTCCACAGAAATATCTACCTATCTTATCCGCCCATATCCTCCTTTTTTCTGGTACATTGATGCCAGCCACATCAATCTCAAATGGTATTGGAGGATCGAAACATATCTTCATGTCTTTGCATAGATCAAACACACATTTCATTGTTCCCTTCATCAATCCTCGACATTGCCATTATTTTCAATTAAAAGTAAATAAATTAAATATTTATGTACATGACGCTACATCATAGGCCACCAAGCAAATTTTGGGCCACAAAGACCTGATCTCACACAAGGACTCTAATTCAATCACACTTTCTCCTTATGCCCCGAGTAATACATCTGGAAGACTTTAGGCAGATAAACAGGCAAAAGAAACCCAAACAGATTAAAACACCAGAACGCCATATTAGCCACAGCAAGAACCCTACCCACCATGACTCTCGTATCAGACCCACTCTGCTGTGCTTCAGCCTTGTAGAACTCAGTCCTGAGCCAATCCACAATGGTGAAGAGCCTCCTAGAGTTATACATCACAGGCACAAAAGCCCTGCTCGGAGGCGAGAACCCCCCTGTGAACACTATCCCTTCCATGAAGATCTGACTTGCCAGGAGAAACAAATGAGGTGAAGCAGCCTTTATTCCTTCCTTATCACCCTCATAGGTGCCCTCCAATATGTAGGCTATTGGGCCGTAGAGTCCAACGATTGCCCCTATGTTGATGTACAGACGAAGCAGCTTGTTCTTAGGATTGAAGATTTGGGGGTAAGTGGCGTTGGGTTTTGAAGGGAAGGCTACTTTGGAGATGAAGAAGAGGTATATGAAGGAGAAGATGAGGAAGGACAAGTCCTCGAGGCTTACCATTCCACTCGAGGCTAGGATTACAATCACTGCCAGCGAATTGAGTTGAGGGAAAGACAGGAACGTGGACTTCATATTGGGGGGTTTCAGGGAATGATTAGGTTCTTGGTGTTCTTCGTGAATAGCTTCTTGCTCTTTCGGGAAGGTGATATCAGACCCAGTTGGACCAACCCCGCCTGACATTTTTTTTTCCCCTGTGAAAATCGAGACCACGATGAAGGGTAATTGAGGGAACTAGGGTTTTTCTCTGGTTCTGAAAAGAGATAATTGCAGAGAAGATTAACAACCTATCAGAAGGTTATACTGAAGAAACTTGATTAGAATGAGGAAAAAGAGTAGTGTAGAGGAAAGTGAAGGAGGCAGGGGGAAAAAAAAAAAAAAAACTGAAATTGGGGGTGACAAGAGGGAGATAATGTTACAGGATATATGTGGTGAAGGGGAGGGACAGGTGGAACGTGGTGCGAGGTAAATGTGACAGGTGTCGTGGGTTCAGATATATCGGTAGGTTTACTTGTGACATTTGTCCTCTCACTTGGCTTGCTACGTGTTCAGCGTTTTTTGTATCAACTAATGGCTCACAAGTGTTCGATATTTTATTATGATCTGAATTTGACAATATATATAATGCTCTAAATTCTGATATCCGGTGTTCCTTTTTTATTCACAGAAGAAATGAGCCTTGGTGTTTCTTTTCCAATCATACTGAGTATTCATGTACAGCATAAAAGTAAAGAACGATAATCCTTTTTTCTTTTTGCCATTGTAAAGAACGATAATCATTGATCATAAATTCAATTCAAAATATGTATAAAATAATTCATATTAACAATCAAAGTTCAACTATGAAATGTTATACCTCAAATATTTTTTTATCTCTGTCGAAGAATATGTGTGTATGTAAAGTGCATCACTTGAATGAGCAATAATCATGATTTTTTTGAAAAAAAATAATTATTGTGGGACCCTAACAAAAAAAAAGGTGTCACACCCATAATAAAAAATATTTGTGAATTTGAGACTCATGATAAAAGATAGTATAAAACCTAATATTCTTTGTAGAGGAAGGAGATATACTTATCATTTATTGCTTATATTTTATATATGTATAAGATAATTAATTGTATTATAAAAAATAAATTTAAATAATAAATTATAAAATAGAATTTTTTATTGCAATGAAATTATGAACTTAATTTATATAAATTATAAAAAAATATGTGTATAATTTAATGAATAATTTTTATTGTTTCAAATCTTAACTCACATTAAATAACAAATTTTACATAAAATAATTTTTAAATTTTATTTTTAAAATATACAAGATAATAAATTATAAAATAAATAAATTTATATGGGATGAACACTGGCTTATTTTTTTAAAAAAAAAAACTGTAAGTTGAAGAATCATGTGTAGCTTGTAGTAAAAATGATATGTAAAAAACCTATAATGTGTTGATTATATTTTTTTTATATGTATAAGATAATATATGATAGATAAAAATATAAAAATAAATAAAAATTTTAAAAATAAATTTTTTATCATTTAAATTTTAATTTATGAGTGAATAACACATTTTAGAATAATAAATTATTCTTTACAATTTTAACATACATAGAGTGACAAATTTTTTATATAATTTTTTTAATATTTATGGGATATGTTATTAATGTTTTCAATATGTGCATGGGTAAAAAAAATTAAAAAATTAATTCATATATTAATTTTTGGTAGGTAACACGTAAATTTTAAATTTTAATTTATAAAATAGAATTATTTTTTTTTACGTGCATTCTGATATTCCAAGTTTTTAACCCAAACTAATCCGATTGTTAATTGAGGGCACCTTTTTGGAGGTATAAAATAAAAAGTTTGAAAACAAAAATTGTACTTTCTACGTGCACTTTTTAAACTTTTCTTAATTTAATTTTTTTTTTACCATGCAATACATATAATTGATAAATAATACTACCATCAATCCGCAATCATATTCTATAAGCAATTCCATTTGATAAGTTTTTTTGCATGAAAAATTCTACCCTTTAATATATATTTTTAATTGAGGAAAAAATTACATATAAAATAAAAATCATCTTTTAAATATACGTTTAATAAAGGTAACTTGAATTTTTTTTTTAACAAAACTAAATATTTAACTATGTCTCCTTAATTTTAATGAGATACCCCCCTTATATATTAATAAAAAATTCTTTATATATCAATATGAATCGATCATATTTTTAAATTTTTAAACATTTAATCCATATTTTTTGGGTATAAATTTTTTTTTTTTGCAAGTAGGCCAATTTACCCTTAACAAAATATGTTATTTTGATTTTGAGTATACAAAAATAAATTGTTTTTTATTTTTATCTTTTAAATATTAAAGTATCGATGCACGGGAATAAATCTAGTTGGAGAGAATGTGGCCTTAATAATCCACACTGAAACTTCAGAAGGACAATGACAAGTCACAAAACTGGGGAGGGGATCTCTATATTATCTCAAAAATAGAATTATTACATGAATTTAGACAATTTTACCAAAAAGGGAAAGGATAAATTAAATTTTGAAGATTATGTCCAGGGGGAAACACCTATGTGAAAAAAAAAAAAAACGAAGAAAGAAAGAAAGAACGAACCCTAGTAACTCAACAGATTGATTACACAAAAAATTGGTAATAACCAGGCAAGGTAGAAGTACTTGCCTTCTCAATCTCCTATGCCATAAAAGTAAAACCGCAAGGAGAAAGGGCTTAAATGCACAATCTCCTATGATATTGCCATCTTCTGAAGGGGAAGGACGGAATGTAAAAAGACTTTCCGGCAATACTTACCTTCAATTTTCTGACAGATGACCATCAGTAAAACTGGAACCTCAGCGAGGAAATTAACGGCGAGAAATCAAACAGCAAATCTTTATCTGTATGACGAACTAATCCACTTTCTTCCTTCTTCCTGCCTATCAAGTAGCTGTTCTTTGTTTGGGAATGTACTTTATCTTAACACCGTTTCCGGGCTTCATTCTGATTTTGGATTTAAATGAGGTTGCGGGCAGCCGAATCTCTGCACTTGCAAGAATGCAGCATTTGTCAATATTTGAAGATTGGCATGCAGCTAGTTCACAATCTTGTACCTCCATGCACCTAGGAGGTTCAGAGTCCGGTGAAAGAACCAATTTCACATGGTTTGACAAAATAGCTTTTTTCCATCCTGCATGATAATTGTACTAGATTAAATCAAAGAATGTGAAAACCAGGCCAATTATTTGGTCAGTGTTTTAGTGGAGTAGAAGAACAAAGAAAAATGGGTAGGTAGCAAGTAGCAAAGCTTACTTTCTGCAAGAAAGGCTTTGGCAGCTTGACTGGAATACCGCAAGTTTCCTGGACCAACTTGACCCTCTAGATGGAAGGAATTATTCTCAAAACTATCACTATTATCCAAGTCACATGGCCTCAGAGAATTTTGATCGGCCAAATTTTGATCATCTATTGCATGAGCTTCTGGACCAGCACTGTGAAGTGGTGATGAATATTTAGTTCCATGATGAGTAACTGGCCTCCAAAGTTTAACAGCCTTAACTGTTAATCGATTGTTACTGATCTGTCCAGAATCAGGTTTGACTGGCTTCTCCTGAGCATTCCTATTGTTCGTTAAATTCCCTCCCATGCGGTCCTCTCCAGACGCTACCAGATTATCCTCTGATTGGCTGCTATTTCCAAGAGTAACAGATATTGATCCAATTAAAACTTCACGGTTTTTACCCTCATCTGGTTCTTTCTCTAGTCTGGCTTTTGAATGTACCCCAATAATACTTTGCTTGGGCTTTCGGCTCCATACTTTGTTACCATTAAGCATGGAATTAGCCTTTTGTTCGCGGTGGGTCCCATACTTTTGGATGACTCCAGGCTTGGAAATTTGAGAGTTATGATTTGCATGAAAACCATTAGCTACAGCCCATTGTGGTTTTGGTTGAGCAACCACAAGGTGTTGACAAGCATGTCCTTGGGATGTCTCTTGTTCAATGTTCTGATCAGTGCCACAACCATACAATGACAGAGAACCCCCATCCATGACTTCATTAGCGTCTGTGCAATGGAAGAGCACAGGTAGTGAAGGACCATGGCCTGTAAATGTATCTGGATTAAGTTCTCCAGAGTCACATGTATCCAAAAATGCTTCTGCTAATGAACTGTCCGCTGCTGAACTGCTACCAGTCTTTTTCCTTTCTGCCTCATCCTCAAGCTTTTGCCCCCTAGCCTTTTGTTCCTTTTGCCTAAGCTTTTTCTGGCGTTTCCTCTCCAAGATCTCAGCTTGTCTGTAAACAGTAGAGTACATAATGAAACAACTCAGCTTGTCTATAAACCGTAGAGTACATAATTAAACAAAGTGTCCTATAACATAAATGACAAGTTTTCAAGAAAAAAGATTTTTTTTATTCATATCTTGTTATATATTTGGTAAACAAACAAATATCTGAACAGAAGATAAATTTACCATCATCTAAATTAATTTGTTGCAATGTGAAGTTCAGTTTGCAGGGATGGACTGGTGTATATGCAAACAATATGCAACGTAATTTTGTGCTGCTTGGTGACGTCCCCAAGCTTTTTAGTCCACTATTTTTCACTCACTCATAAAGTGGTTTATTTCTCTCCTGAAGTAAGGGCCTATAAGTGTAACCCCTCGTAGAATTGTTTTATTAATGGTTTCTTCATAGCGATACTATTTCTTTTGTTCTGATAAACTTCCTTGATGGTTGATTCACCACTGGGGAAAAAATAAACTGAGGCTCCATCATATATTTCATTAAACCAAAATAATTATTTTTAAAAGCAGGGAACAATAAAGCACCTATAACTCAATCAAGAAGTTAAACACCAAAAGAGAAGAAAATAAAAGGATAGACTAACAAATTGTATTATCCTGGCAGTTGCATACCACCAAACCTCCCCCACATTTCAAAGAAGAGACAAGAATCAAAAGACGATACCCTTACAATATTGCTCCAGAACCTAAAACTCAAACTAAGCATCAAGCCTTACTAATGGCTGATCATTGAGAACTAACTTCAAGTAATAAACACATATACACAACATAACAGGTGAAATCACAGTGAAAGCTGGTAAAAAAACTTAAAACGCTTCAGGTACCTTTTCTGAGCAGCTTCTTCCTCCTCCACTAGCAGTTTCTGGCATCTTAATGCTTCAGCTTCCTTGTCAGCAAGCCATGCTGTTACCTAAGTGAAAGGGAATTCATAATCAATCATAAGATAACTGGAAAAATTCAGAAGCTTCACAGAGTAAATTAATTACAATCAAGGACTGAGATTGATAAATTTATTATTTTTCAAATTTCTTACAATAGAGGCGAGGTGGATGTTTGTCTATGGTTATGTGCAAATTTACACCATGACCTCAAATTTCACAGGCACCTCTCTTTCCATCAAAACCAAATCTTGCCACTTAATATTAGCCACATACAAGGCTCGATTACCAAAATGAGAAATTACATTTGAATTGCAATGCTTGTGAGCAGCCCTAAAGACTGAGAGTTTCTCCCAGTAAAAATGTATCATCAAATCAAATAAAATAAGAAAGAAAATCTGATGGAATGACTGCTTCATTTACAGGCATACATTTAAAATGCACTGCCTCCAGTTCATAATATAAGATTCTTTTGACAATCACACAATTTTAAAAAAAAAAAAAGATTAACTTAGTTAATGGTCTAGAATTTTTTTTTTTTTAAGTTATCTTATCATTCCAAATCTAGCCTTAATTAAAGCTATTAACCTCTGTCATAAAGTCAAAGATGATATTCCCAATAAATTGAGTTATAATTGCATGAAAGACATTTTGGAAATATATCATAAATACTTCACTAAATCCCCCTCCTTGACCCCCCCAGGGGGGGTTTTGATATCCAGCAACAGCTGAAAGCAGATATTATAAAAAAAATACTTATCCAATATCATTCATGAACAATCTATCAATTATTAATTATTCAGGAATTATCTACATATCATGCACATCTAAACAAACAGTTAGTTGCCCTTCTAAGGCCTTCCATTGAAAGTGCTCTTTTGAAGTTAAATACATAAAGCACCTCATAGGCAAGTGAGAGTGAGGACAAAAGGAGGGAAAGAAGTTACTCCATTTGTTAAAAAATGTAAGGCATTTTTTGAGAATTTAAATTTTAAAAAATGTAAAGCATTTTTAATATTTCAAGGTGTAATTAATGTGTTTTTTTTTTTTTCAAAAGTGCCCCTAACAAACAAATCTCTTTATATTTATTTTAAAGTGAAAGACCCTATTAAATAGGGGCCAATATGAAAAGATGGTGTTAATTTGAAGACAATTAATTACTTTATTGAAGGATATGATTCAGTTAAAAATGCCTTACATTTTTTAACGAAGGAAGTATATGAAAACAGAGGGCAAAAGAAATTACCAATTTCTGTTCTAGCAAGAAACTAGTACAAGCAACTAGGTTTTTTGGTTCAAGGCCAATCTTTCCTGGCTCTCCATCAAAAATATATTTTTGCATAGACACTGCTGCCCCACATAAAAATGTTTTTTCACTGGCACTATCAAGGATACTGAACAACTCCTTGGAAGATATAGAAAGAATGGAAGATCTTGCTTGAACAATATCCTGCAAACAATTCGATTATAAAACATTAATGAACAAAGAAAATGTTAAAATTAAAATTAGAAAATATATGTGTAAATGTGTGCGTGCATCCATGTAAATGTGTATTCAGCATGTAGAGAACTGTTCAAGCAAAACTCCTAATCGATTCAGAGTTTATGTTTCTTGGGTGTTTAAGTGCATCATTATCAAGAATATTGGAGTTTATCATTATTCAAGAGTCTTAATTATCCTTTGTCATTATCTTTAGGAGTTTATAATTGAGGTTTGAAGTCAATCTGCATTGTCATGTTATTATAAATTAAAAGGAATGGGGCTGCCACCATGTGTGAGAGTTCCACCTCCGTGAAAGCCTCCTCATCCACCATGTTTATATTCTTATATTAAATTAAACAGAGCATAAAGTGTAAGTTATATATAATATAAAAACTAATAAGCCAATCTCTTTATAAACCATGAAAAGTGTGATTCCTTTCTCAAATTGCATACAATACACAGGATCTATACTAGTTAGAAAATATAGTTTATAAACTAGACAATGAGGCTTCATACCAAAAGGGCAGAACCAGCCTTCAGATAATTCTGTGGAAGTGAAGAAAATCCTTGTTTCCGAACAAGAGTCGTCAGCGCTTTTAACATAGAAGACCCTGGAACTTCCTAGAAAACATTGTCAATAAGAAAAAGCAAGATACAAAAACTAAAGAAATTGGAAAAGTATAAAACAATTAAATAGAGAAACTAAAAGAGATATGATGCATATCTATCTTTTATTTTTTGCTATTAAAATACTCAATCTGCATCTGGAGTTCTTATTCATTTACTAGTGTGGACATATTGACCTCTTCAAGAATATTCTTAATGAAAAAAAATATATGATTAAGAATATTTCTAGAGAGAACAAATGACGGCCAAGGCATTTTAGAATTCACTTTCACGATTGAAAGGAAGCTACGGTCTTCCAAACAAACAAGAATAGTTTTCGATCTAATATAGAAATTAGAAAGAACTGTAAACAAATGCAGCTAACAAAACTAACATAAACATAGGATACAGGAAAAAAAATATGCACAGGAATGTACTGCTTGAACAAAGAAACGAGATCCATTTTCACTCCATATGTTTGACATATCAGCAGTTTCATATGCAGGTGGACTCATTTAAATAACTTCATGTTACAAATAAAATATTATGTAAAGAGCAAAAATATAATACCTCCAGCATTACATTCTTGAATGATACAACTTCTTTTGCCTCTTCTACTGATAGCTACACAAATCATGTATATATAAGCTCATCAAAACAAGTTTTTTTTACAATTAAAGGAAGCATCACAAGGATTAAAAAAAAAAAATTACCTTATCCCAATATGCTCCTAACAGATCTCTATTTTTTGTAGAATCCTACAATATGCAAACAACACAAAAATAAGGATCAGAAATATGCTGTTCTTTCATCCAGTTAACTTGAAAGAATATAAAACTGACAAAAACAACAAAATTGGACTAATTATATATAGATGTTTGATTAAATTCTTAACATATGAAGGAAACCTTATCAATCTTGACTATATTCATAACATATAAAGGAAACCTTATCAATCTTTTTCAACCGATGGTAAACACGTATATGTCTTCTATAATTAATTGTAGACAAGAATTCTCGGGAACACTTTTCACACTTCTGCAACTGAACCTTCAGAGGAGAGAGCAAAGGCCAGCCTGGCGGTTCTGTCAAATAAGTGAGCAGTAAAATCAGAATAAGTAAATTTTGAAATACATGCACCAGTACAGGGCGCCAGAACTAAGTATGACGCATTCCACATATCACTCCATGCCAGCCTGGAAGAAGCAAGGGCAAAGACGGGGATAGCCTCAAGAGTATAAACTGCTGCATTTTTTTGCAAAAACATTACATAGACAAGGTTGACACATTCCTTGATGCAATACACATTAAATGTATACAAATTGCGCTCAGTTGTGTGCTTTTGAAATTGTACCCCCGAAAAAATGATTATTTTTTGAACCTGAAAGATATCAGCAAATACCTTGCTGATCTAACGCATGAAGTAATTGTATCCACTGGACTGGACTGTCACTAGCCCTTGGAACAGAAAGAAAAGGTTCTCTGCCAATTGCCTTTCTGATTATGGTATCTAAGGAGTCATTTCCATCCTCTGCTTTCATGACATCTGAAGTACCAAAAACCTTGTGTTTTTCAACTGGCATCTACCTGCGCCAAAGCTTATCCAAGCACCTCCACAAGAGTCCACTGCACATAGCATAAAAATAGAACATGTAAAAATGAGACTGCACCTAAATATAAGACATACAGAGAGAGAGAGAAAAGAAACCAAAAATGAACAACTATGAACACTTTCATATTTGATAAATCAAAATATAAGTGATCTTACGAGTGAGGTATGAATAATCAAAATGAACAAATACAAGTGAGGCATAGACACAGAGAGCAAATAGAAACAACATGCCATAAACAGCTAGACTAATGCTAGAATCAAAACATTGCCCCTGAACGAATAATTATGATCTTACAGAAACAAGGAAACAGCACAATGCAAGTCGCCCTCACTTTCCTGCTTCCCTTGAATATAGACCTAAAAACTAAAGCGCACGCCGGATAGCACGGATCTCCAAGATATCTCGGTACATACCAACTCAGATGGAAACACAAAGGAAAAAGAGCCAAGAACTGAATCCTTCATCCATTCTAAGAATCAAACTCTTCAGACAGACTAGGCTTTGTGAAATTCTGGCAAATTGAAATTTTAGATCTACAAACTACATTTAAACATAAAGATGCCAATCTATATATCACAACAACAATAAAACAGCATACCTAAATGATTCTCATAGCATTTTTGCCAATAGAATCCAGCTGACGATAATAAGAAATGACACAGTATTGAACACAGTAAACACGATCTTTCACAATTCCCTCCTCATCCTAAAAAGGAAATTAAAAACGAACATCATATATTCATTCTTCTCTTCCCTCCTCAAGTAGAACAAAAGTTTAACTGGTAGGAGAACATGATTAAAACAAACCAAGAACAAAGGACACCGAAAAACATGATCGGCGATCGAGTATGATATCCAATAGGCCAATACTCTTGAGAAACTAAGAAGTGCGATAGTAGATCACGCACCAAAAAGGGAATACGATAAAAAGATCCCCTCTAGGCAGAGGAGATTCTCCGACGCTGAGGAAACACAAGCGGCGGCAACGAGATTCAGAGTGTTTAGATGGAAGGAAAACGGACGACAAAATGCGAGCAAGAGAGTGATCGACCGAGAAGGTTCGGGAAGAAAATAAAGAATATAAATGTTAACGAAAACGGTGGAACGCAGAGATGAGTTGTAACAAAATTCGAAGGCTGGCCAATGTAGAAGAGGAAGAAGCCTCTCTCCTCTGTAGTAGGGGTTCACGATCGCAAAAGCTCATACACGCGCTCATGTCACGCGTGACTAAGGTGGATTTTTTTTTTTTTTTGGGCTAAAGACTGCGATCACGTTTGGCATAGGAAGGAACAAATGAAATGAATTAAAAAAATTAATTTAAAAATAAATTATTTTTTATAATAAATATAATAAAATTATTAATATATATTATAAATATGAAAATCATTACATTCATTAATAATTTCATAAATTATAATTTTTAATTTTATAAAATAAATTATCCACTTTTTTTATAAATGTAGTTTGCTATTCTTTTTAATTATTTCATCTTTATATTTATTTTTTAAATTTAATTTATTTTATTTCTATTTAATAATTAAATGTGACCTAAAGTTTGACAGAATTTTTTGGAAAAAGAATTATTTTAGCTATAATACTTTCAATTTTAATTTGAAAGCTAGTTTTGATTTTCAAATTTCTAATTTGTTAATTAAATTAAAAAATTTATATTTGATTTTTATATGATTTATCTTAAAATTTCAGTACTGAAAAGGTGATAAATATTTTTGAGAGGATCGCAAATAAATTACATTAAAATAAACAGATAATGAATGTAATTACTTTGCATAAATTTTATTTTTTCAAAATTACATTTCTAACCCTAGGTAGAATAATTAAAAGTATAATAGCTGGCAATACTTAAATTAAAGTTGCTAATATAAGAAGTGTGTTTGTTAGTTTAGTCATGCAACAAGATGTTGACCAAAAAAAGAAGTAAGACATTTCTTATATTAACAACTTCAATTTAATGATTAACCGTCTTAGCTTAATAATTAACACCCTCAATATAAATATTAACAATACAATCGGTCATAATTTTAATTTAGTTAGGCAATATAACTATGCCTCTTATGTTAACAATTTTACATGTGTTTTTAATGACTTGAATTTAGATTTTAAGAAAACTTTTTACTTGCTTTAGATCATAATATACTTCATTTATAATTAGCTGATTCACAATTTATGAATAATGTTAGTTAAAATATTAAATTCTTAAAAATATCTATATCTTTTCATTTATACCCTATATAAAAGCTTGATAATAATAATTAAAATTTAAATGCATGATATTTTTAACAAAAGTAATAAATGAAGTAGGGGTATAGTTAAAAAAATAAATATAAAAGTTATTCAATGTTTTATATTGTGGACCATGTAAGATTTTTAAAAGTTGTCTTATATTATAGTCCAAAGGGACTATTACCTTGTGAAGGTCAGAAGCATAATTTTTCAGAAAAAAAAATATTGCGGCGAATAAGTTCCCATAAACTTTAGAGTAATAAGGCTTTTGCATATATAATTCATGTTATAAGAGAAAACCAAACAAATAACCTAACATTTATTATGTTTTGCATTATGACTAATTTATTATATTTGTTAATGATATGCTGTTATATACAAATGATAAACCCCTGGTAAATTTTTAAATTTTTAATGATATATACTCTATGTGTCAATAATAAATATCTTGTATATTAATGTAAATTAACCATATTCCTAAATTTTTAAAAATTTAATCTATATTTTTTGAGTATATTTTTTTTTTAACTAGTGAGCCAATTTGTCGTAGAGTAATTACTCAAACTTCATATCATTATTTCGTCTCTTGCCTATTTTGAGGATTCATTTGTCATTTTCTCAAAATGTTTATAGTATAATAATTAACTAAGTCATTTTAATATTTTTTCCATTATTTTAATATTTTAAACTTGAAAAAACTTATATAGTGAAACTAGTTATTTAAATTAAATGACGACATATAGATATTTTATATATTATGTATTTTATAATAAATTTTTATTATTAATATATACAATTCAGATGTTTTAATTTAATTAGATAAAGGAATGTTAAATATATAAGATTAAGAGAAAATTTTAGATAATTAATTTTGTGTACTTTAACATGCTTAACTTTCTTTTTTGGGTGAAACATACGTAGCTTCTAACACTAAGATCTACAAAGATACGAAGTTGAGCTTACTTATATATATATATATATATATATATTTCATGTCTAAGTTCTAACGCTAAGATTTACGAAGATACGAAGTTGAGCTTACTTTTATTTATATATATATATATATATAAATATATATTTCATGCCTAAGTAGGTGCTAGGCCCAATCTGTTTTGAAAGAAAGACAAAAGAATAAATGAAATATCTCATTTATTAAATATGATTAACATTTTAAATTTAAGATAATTAAGAGATTAACTCCAAAAGAAGATTGCCAAGTTTGTAATTTAAAAAAATGAGATCCTAAATTTTCATCATTTAAAATTGATTAACATTATTTATTAAACTGTTATTCAAAGTAAAATAAAGTTACGCAAGCATAGAATACCTTATAGAAGTGAAATGAGTCAAAACCATTTGAAAAACATCAAAGGCTGAATAATAGAGTAGTGTGCCATGACTCATGCACAATGCGTTATGGCTTCTCACTCTTTGTGCCACACATCATGTTGCATGTTCGTAATAGCATTTATGTTGTTATTTGATAGTAAATTTGGGTAACTTTTGTTAAGGTAGTAGAGGTTGGAGGTTCGAGTTTGGGGAGGTTCCAAAAGACCCCCGTGAGTGTGGGGTGAGGAATAACCACTGTACCACCAGTGGGAAAGCTGGCAATCATGTAGTGACATGTGTGTTGTCCAACGTTAGAAAAAGACCCTAAAGAGGCAGTGGTGACCCAAAGGGCTGTTACATCTAAGCCTCTATAGCTTTTTTTTCTGCACCAAAGTTAGAACCTATAAAATATTAAAAAAGAGGAGTGAATTTAGTCCCTCAATAATCAAGGTACGTTTACCCTATACAGTTGTATATCAATTGAACAAATACACATAACTGCAGTTGATTTTCTCAAAACATAAGTACTATCACATGTAACACGAAATTGTCATTCCTCATTTAACTCATTTTCATAATTTTCATCTCAAGTCACATGGTACGTTACCACAAAACACACAGACATGTAATAATGACCCAATTTATTATCACGACTTACCATAAATTTAAACAATCATGTGACACATCATATAAACATATATGCATGATCAAACTATCCTTATACCCTTAATATTTCCTCCGATTGAAATCATAAGTTATAATATCAAATAGGACTCTATTTTTGTGCCTGAACTACTGAAGTTCATTAATTGTGAGGTGTGACCCGACCAAAAATCACATGACTCACTTTTGAACCATCGTTTCCCCTACTCTTGAATCTTTAAGGTTTCATATAAATAGGTATGGACCTATAACTTATATAGATTGAAAAATCTTCATCCTCATTCAAATCCTAATTCAAATTTTTGAGAAAATGGAAGAGAAAGGAAGGAAAGGGTTTAGGAACCTTACCTTAGGTGATTTAAAGCTTCAAACCCTCTTAAATTCATTCCAAAATCGTGCCCTAGCAAAGCTCTATTCATTCTCTTTGTTTTTCTCTCCTACTCCTTTGTTTTTTGACATTGATTTGTGACTAAATTCTACAAAATGTGTACTATACGTCGTGATGCTTGTCCCCACATGCCGTAGCATATAATATAAAGAAGGGTCTTCATGTATTATGGCTTTGTGCGCGTATAGCACAGAGGCTTTCTTCTTTTGTTTTTCATTTATTTTGATGTCCAAGTGACACCATTTCACTTTTGATCCAAATTTATAATTGAAATCACACAAAAAACACTTATTAATCCCCTTTAACCACATATCACATAATTCCCACTTATTTATGCTTGGTTACTTAATTGTGAAGAGTTTAATTTTTAGGACATTACAATAAATTAATGATAGTTAGGTTGCAAAATGATTTGTAAATATCAATTCAAATAGTTATAAATAAAAATTGTTATTACAATCTAAGAGTTACTTTTGATATTTAAATGCTATTTACAATTAAAACTATTGGATTTATAATTATTTAGATTAAAGTTTTCAACTTATTTTTTAAAATAAAAAAATTATCGAGAATTTAACTATTATTAATTCAATGTCCTGGACCTAATTATCATTCTCCCACATTTCTTCTCCCTTACTTCCCTTTTCGATGGGACCCCTTGTTAATATTAATATATGTATGTATGTATATATGAATCTTGTTAATATATACTATCTCCATTAATATATGAATCTTTTTTAATTAAATCATACCTCTCAATACAATAGTTATTTATCTTCAAAATAACACTATCTTTTCATATTTATCCCTATTTAATATGGTGTTTCACTTTAAAATAAATAGAAAATTATTTATTCATTATTGACAGTTTAAAAAAAATACAATGATTATACCTAAAAAAATTAAAAATACATTACATTTTTAATATTCAATCTCTTAAAAAATGCTTCAAATTTTGTAACAAAGGGAGTATCTTTTGTTCTTGACAAGGTAGATGTAAATCTTAATTTCCTTTTTTTTTTTCACCAATGTAGAGCTTAATTTTCTTTTTTCTTTTTCTTTTTTTTTAAAAAGGAATTGAACGACATGAAAATTCAAATTTTCATGGTAACAATTTACATGGTTCCCTTTTTCGTGCAGATATTTTTTTAAATATATAAAAAACCAGTGGAATCATCTCTACTATATTTTGATTCAGGATGCATTCTTCTTGTCACCCCACTTTCATGCAGATTTCTTTCGCAAAAGAGAATTGAAAACTAATTTAAATTTCTAGTTGTCTCTAATATCAAATACCAATTATCTCTACTTCGTATGGTAATGTAATAAGGATCATTTTCAAGTTAAATTTTACACAACACAAGGGCAACTTAAGGTTGCCAGTACAAATCTACATGGAAACAAAATACATCACAGAGAAGATGATGATACACATATCAAATGAATTACAGGAAAATTAATCCCAAAAGGCTTTCATGGCTGATTGAAGAGCTCTCCAACTTCCCGTTTCATCATCCCCTTAATCTGGGTTAGTAAGAATAGGCATACCCCCTCTGTTAGATATCAATCCAAAAAAATACAGACAGACTCTGCAATATATGATATATAAAGAAATGTTTCAAGAGAGAGAAAGACACCTGCTTTGCTGAAAGTCCAATGTCCTGTAAATCCTCAAGCTGTTGAAAGAAAAGGTTAGATTGCAATCCCAAAATTATGTCACTTTTATATCAATTTCACCGCCAAGAAATTATCATTGGCAGGGAATATAAGCGGCGTAGAGTTTCTCCCAACAATAAACTGATGCAAGAGACTTACACTCTTGAAAGGTTCAGGAGATTCTTCACGAAGCTCAAGTATGTAGGTCGCTCTTTTCTCACCAATCCCCTGTAAGGAAGAAGAGAAGTCAGTTCATGAGGTGTTAGGAAAATTCATCTTAGCAAATATAAAGGGGAAGCATTCCTGACCTTTAATCTTTTCAATTCTTCCCTGTTTATTTTGACAAAATAAAAAGGAATATCTCAGTTTAGTCGCAGGAGATATGAAATGAGGGGGTAAAATACTTTATGACGATCACCAGAGCACCTCATAACAAAGAAAAGTACGTTCAAGCATTGAATGAATTGTTGTTAACTTACTTGTTAGCAGTGTTTAAGAACCTTAGATATTCATGAACGAGAGAGTTCTGCAATAAAGCACAATTCAAGAATTCAAATGCTCGAGTATCAAAGCAAGCAATTGAGAAAGGGATCAATCGATATGATTTAGATGATCGAACCTTCATTCCAGAACTGCGCGCACTGTATGTTTCCCAAGGACTTTTGGCATTCATGACATTCCATCTATCAGTAGCACCCAGAGTTTGTTCAGTGACGGGAGTTTTTGGTTCCACAATATCTGTAGAAGACACATGATTGTTATGTGATATGATGCTGTCCTGTTCAGGGATCTTCACGCTTAATGGGGTTGAAGATAATAGAAGCTTCAAATTGTTTGACAGTTCACGCAGTTGAGCGCTAATTGGTGGTGATTCACCTTTATTAGCAATGAAACTGTCGTTTTCCTTATCCACAAAATGACCTGTAATGATAAAATAAAAAAATAAAAAATCCATGGGAACATGCAGTTGTGATCAGCTTTTTTTGGTTAATCCAGTCGTCCACTGCGCTCAACCTACCTTCCTGAACTATAGAGTGCGAGGACAATGCTCTCTCATACTTGCCAGAATTAGGGGTATGTTCCTCTCGACGATCCTCGTTTTTCTCAGGGACAACCTATAAAAACACGAGTATTATATTATGCCTTGTTTTTAATTCAAATTAAAGCAAAACGCAAAACCTTGCATCAGTTAAGCAATACTCATTAACTTTGTCCCTATTAAATAGATATATATTTTAATAATATATTTTCTCTCTCCAACATTCAATAAAAGTTAAATGAAGAAATTTATAATAAAAATTTAATGAGATGACCTGTAAATAAGACAAAAAAATTTTTCTCTTTCTATTCTATAAATAAGACCATTGCATCAGTTCAATACCTTTTTTGCCACGGGTTCTGCTTCATACCTAGCATCTGAAACTGAGTCATCCTGCATAGAATGTTCCTATCAACTTCCAGAAAGAACAGGTGCTTGAATAAACTTTGTAAGGTAGTTAATTACATTTTCCAGCACGAGTTCTGTTTGATGCCTCGCATCTGAAACTGAGTCGTCCTGCATTGAATATTCTCATCAATTTTCTTAGACTTTGGACAGAAGAATATTTGGATCAAATTTAGATTCCAGGAGATTAGTCAATAATATTTTCCTCTATGGATCTGAATTTCATGTGATACCCAACATTTACGTATGAATGTATGAATTATCCTACATGAAACACTTCCTCATCAACCTATGATGTCAGATTTCAACTACAGCATGAAGTAAAATGAAATAAAAAAATATTACCAATGATGAAGGCAATAATGCTTCGGTGACAGGTACAATGAATTTTTCCTGCACAAAAGATAATAGTTTTACACGGTAGAACGACACCACTTACAAAGTCCTTATTTATCAATTAGAATGATTTTTTTTTTTTTAAATCTTTACCTCTTCTTGCACTGAAGTTTCTACAGTAGAACTGGTATCTGACAACCTTGCCTGCATTAAAATTGATCAAGACTTCATGAAACTTATTCTTTTACATATTTTTATATTCATATATTATACATATCTCTGACCACTTACAGAATTGATTCTCCTGACTATCTACATGTTCATCAAATTTTCTTTTACATATTATATAATTTTTATTCTTTGCCTCTCCATTTTTTATTCTATTTCCTATGATTGCTTTAGGAGTAGCAATGATGGGACAGAAATGTGGGCTCGGAGAGCATCTCAGAAAGGAGAAGAATATAGTTGGGCCGCCCAATGATTGCAACATTTTCATCTTTATGGCAAATATTTTTGAAATTTCAGAGAAGAAAGGAGAGTAATGGATACCTTTTCAGCTTTAGCGGAATGACATGCTTCATCAAATAATTTCCTTCAATTAACAGGAAAGAAGATTAATTTCCAGACATGAATATTAAGAAAGAGTAACAGCTTAGATTGTTACCAAATGTGCATGAAACTTAACCACAAACCTTCCTTTTACTGCAGATTTTCTCAAATCAGTTTTCTTTTCACATGTATGTGATCTCGAGCCAGTTAGTTTTTTGGCCGTATAAGACACACTCTTGGGCACCTTACTCTTATGAGATGTAAGCATCATCTGGCTTGCAGAATAAATTTCACTTTTCTTTGTAGCATCTACAGTCACTCGATGAATCCCTTGACAAGACCGGGATATTAAGCTTAACATGTAGATAGTGTCTTGGCAAAAAGATGGGTTCTATATTTACAAAATAGATAAAGACCAACACCAAAACTAAATTAGTAATTTAAAAGAAGCAGAAAGATAAGGATCGGAAATTTGAAAGAAAAAAAAAATGCATGATAAGAAAAATTACCATGCAGACAACCATCAAAATTCGGCTAGTCCCTCTCAAAGAGTCCTGTAACATGCGCGTAAGTTTGCTCTCGCGATAAGGAACTCGACTTTCATTGGTGCTCAAAGCGTGACAGACATTTAATAAAGCATATATGGACTTGTTAATTTTATTAGTTTGAGCAAGCCAAAAGCTGTCACAACTCTTCTTCCTGGCATCCTCATAGCCTGATAATAGAAGTGCCAAGCAGGGGCTCAACTTTAAAAATATAATCATAGCCAAGAAAAAAAAAATATCATATATAAAAATTGTAACCTGCCATGTCAACAAAATTCATTTTGCCCACAGAACCAGTTTCTATGCCGTCAGCATCAGAAAAGACATGAACTATTAATCCCACATGGCTTCTACGAGCATAGTCATTTCCCTTTTTCACAGCAGCTTTTCGAGTAGCATAAGCAGTGACGTACGCTTTCTGAAACTCTGCAATGGATTTCACAGGAATCTGCAAAACATTTTTAAGTGCATGAAACTTAACCACAAACTCTCCAAAATTACTTGTATACAGTGCCATTTTTTAAGTTTTCTTTCTTTACGTTTGATGAACTAGCAAGTACCAGTTACCAAATAATTACCTGAGAAAGCCCTTTAAACTGAATACGGCCTCGGTCTTCAAGAACTAAAATGGCCGGTTGTTCTGGATTTAATAAATCAACAGCATGCTCCTGATGATCAACCTCATACAATGATATAGCAATGGATTTGCCATTTTGTTCTGCCATTGAAAGAAAGTCGGCAACAGCAAGCGCTGACAAACCAGGTATCTTAGCAGAACCCTTGAAAAGCAAAGGATTATTAATTGTTAGTACAAACACATACAAAAGAATTTAACAGAAACTAACGATCATGATCTGTTCATGAAAAGATCTAGGGTGAATAACAGAGTCAAACCTGAATTACATGAGTCTTTCCACTGCCTCTTGCTCCATACGCAATAATAGAGCAGTTATGGCCTTCAAAGACAGAAGATATAAGAGGCTTCACGTCTCTTGAATACATCATGTCATTTTCTTCATTTTCCCCATAACAATAGTCCACCCAGTAAGACTCTTTACGACTGCGGCCATAAAGATTAGCTAGTAAGAGATTATTGTTTATTGAGAGCTCAGGGGATGACCATGCATATCTTTCAAAACAATGAGTGAGACATAATGGCTTGCCTACGGCTAGGTGGCAAGGATTTTTTTAATTAGATGGAGCTAGTTGTTGTGCCAAAATTCATCCGCAGCCAAAAAAAAAAAAAAAAACAGTTGGTCATAAAGTAATTATTAAAAATCAACTATGTTAGGCTAACCAAATTGCACATCAGTTAGCTAGATTAGCTCACAGAAACTCCGATATATTCTGCTCCATTGATCAAACTTCAACCCCCGCCTTGTTGCATGGAGGTGGACGGTGATGAAAGGTTATTGAGCATTCCTGGACATCAGACGTAGGCTGTTGCTAATATGATGCGCATTTATTCCAAAAAAAAAAAAACATTCCCAAAGAGATTTCCAATTCAACATTTGAATGGATAATTATATAACCGAATGGGTGATATATTAAAACCTGTGGTTCCAATTCTCATGAATGGCACAATTTGCAAATAACAAACCCTAAATTAAACACCAAATCTCAATTTCAACGTTCGCCATAACCCAAACAGGTGAAAAGAGGTTACATTACTGAACAAGTGATACGTTAAATCCTGTAAATTCCAATTACCGCGATGTGCTCACTTAAAAAATAATAAAGGCCAAATTCAACTCCAAATCTCAATTTCGACGTTGGTCAAGAGCAGTACCCCAAAGAGATGGAAAAGGTTTTATACCTCAACACTGCCCTAAGCTAACTGAAGAAGTACCTGGAAGAATGGTCCCTGAAGGAGATTGCGACTCCCTCTGAACTCTCTCGGGAAGGCTTGTTCACCGAAATCCAGTCCGCCGATCTCAAAGACACACTCTGAGCCTCGGCCTCCGGAAACGCAAAGCCCCTAACCTTTGCCACGACCCGAACCTTTCGACCCGGGTTCGGTCCTGCTTTGTCGGCCTCGGAGCGATCGAATTGCTTTGCATGACTCGAATCCATCGAAGTGAAGACTAGGCTTCCCCAATCAAACAAGATTCACAGACACTCGAACCGTGAAAAAGACTAATGCTGTGCAAAACAGCAAATGAAGGCGGAGAGCGTGCTCTGGAATGTACAGAGTAAGGAACTGATAAGTGCTGTTCGTGCTTTTCTCTCTTTTTTTAATTTATTTCGCTGTCGAAAATATATATATATATACACACACATATTAGTAAATGAGAAGTAGAGGTAGCCGTTGCCCGTTGGGGATTTCAAATTGTTTGGCTCAACTGGACACGGTGGATTCTGCTGTCACAACGATAGCGCTCCTTGTGAACTGCTTCCTTGAAACGCCGGAGAAGCTGTGCGTTTTATTAATGTTTGAGGGTAACCTGGGTCAGAATATGTTACGGTGGCATTCAAACAGTCTACAAAAATATTTAAATAAATTGAGTATATCATATTATTTGTAATTTATCTAATAAAAATATAATATTTTGATAACATTAAATATAAATTAATTATAATATTAATTATAGCAGAAAGAAAAGATAAAAAATTAAATGTACATTCCATTATAAAAATAAAATCAATTAAAAAATATCACATGAAATTTTAATTTAGATTATTCAGAGTATTTTAATTAAACAAATTATAAATAATATGATACACCTGATCTTCTTAAATATTTCTTCCACTTGTAAATTGTAATACAGTGAGAAAATATCTTTTTTTGTTACCATGAAAAATTAAATCTCTTTTTTATTTGTGATATATATAATAAAATAAATAATAAATTGTGTTATAATGCGTGTGAATACTTTTAAAAGTTATTCTATTTTAAGTGTGATATATAATCTCGAACATTACAATTATGATTAGAGTAACAGTAAGTATAAAATAAGGAAATAAATTACACTAGTAAGAAAAATACAATTTTCCTCAGCACAGTAGTTAATGCTTAGAAGGAAAAATATCTATGACTATTTCTTTCCAAATGAAACTTACTTTGGGATTCTTATTTCATCAATTTGTTTACTTTATTTATTTTTAAAAAGATAACATTGTCTTGTAAATAAAACTCAATTCTTTCGTTCAAAACTGAATGAAAAACAAAAATCTAAATGCAAGCTAAGGATGATATATAAAAAAAGAAAATGTTTACACTAATATTATAGGAATAACTTTTCTAACACTTTGTTGGTTTGAAGATGGAAAGAAAAGGGATTTTAATGGAGTAGAGAGAAAGGAAGGGAAGGGATTTTAATGAAGGGGAGGCACTTTATTTGGTTTAGGATGGGAGGAGAGAAAATAATTATATATAAATAATTATACCTTTATTTTATTAAAATTATCTTTTTCCTCACTTTTTTTAATTTTAAATAAAATAGACCTGTGAATTTTAAAAAAATAAGGATAAAAATATACAGCTTACCACTAAACAACAGAAAACACTTTTTTTAAAAAAATAAAGAGCAAATATTTATATTAAAAAATATAAAATACAATAAAATATTAGTTAATATAAAATACACTAAAATATTAATTAATATATAAAACGCGATGACATTGCAAAGGACCACGATTTGAACGAAGGGAGGAGACCACGATTTGAATGGAGGGAGACGCAATAATGGGTAACGATCTGAATGAAAGGAGCAGCAATGAGGAGTGGAGGGAAGAGGTTTTAATGAAGGGGGATATTTAGGAAAGAAGGAAGGAAAAAATAAGGAAAAATTTACTCAATGGCTTTAAAAAATACAACTTTCATAAATTATGGAAGAAGTTTTTGAATATTTTAAAATATTTTAAAAAATACAACTTTCAAAAATAAATTAAATGTGTTTTTATTCCTTTGTCCTCAAATCTGTTCGGTCTTTTTTATTAAAATAGGATATAGCTGATGTTATTTTGATCTGATTTTCCTTAATTTTATTTCTCCATCCATACGGTTATTTTCACCATCTTCACCGGAGTTCGCAGAACGTTTCTTATTGTATAGTGCTTGCCTCTCTCTATTTATATTCTTTGTTTTTCCCAGATATTATCATCAGATTGAATAGGAAACTACATTATCGAATAGAAATTATCTTGTATTTGTTTATCTAGATGTTGAAAAGAATAATCCATAATCGAATTTCCATTGTCTTCATATATTCAGGTAATATATCCATTGAATCAGTAAATCACCTATTTCTAATCTATTTTTTGTTGTCACTGATCATGCAATTTGCTTGAATTTCGAACACAAAACATATTATTTTCTTACTGTTCATGACTTTTTATTTTTTATTTCAGGTATTTAATTTTCTATGATCAGCTAAGCTGTTTGTAATTTTTTCAAACCTAGTTTGATCTGAGTTGGGTGAAGGAGTATGGCATTTTCGTGTTTCTAATTAACGTTAGTATATCATTGATATATTATAGTATCTCATTGATAAGTAATATTAGTGTTAACTTACCAACACTATGTCATCTTGTAGATATGGAGATGCTTAATCTGATAATTTCTTATGATAGAAAATGAGATTTGAACAACCGTTATGTTGATGGTTCATACTTGGAGGTGCTTGTGGAAGATACAACTTCCTATCTTGATGTCATGGAAATTGTGTGTAAGAAATTGTGGTTGAATACAAGTCATGAAGTTAAATTGATGGTCTCTTTTGATATTGGAATTTCAACATATAGTATTTTAGAGGTGAAGAATGACAATGATTTGATATGGTATTTTAATTCGTTGAGAAATTCTAATCTATTTAACTTCCTGTTGATTGTCTCTATTTCCAATGGACCTTTTTCCGTACAAGAAGTGTTTGAACCTTGCCATGAAGGAGATAGTTCCTTAACTTCATGTTCTTTTACATTTACCAACAACAAGATTTGTAGTGGACTTGATGAACTTTTATAAATAGATGATATTAAGAAGGGAGATACATTCTTTAGCAAATTAGAAGTCCAAAAAGTTCTGCAACTGTTAGCTATGAAGAGGAATTTTGAATACAAAACTCTAAAATCAAATGGTCAAAGGCTTGTTGTTGCTTGTAGTGTTGATGGTTGTAAGTGGTATATACGGGCCTTAACAATTTCTTCTACTCAGGTTTGGGTCATTAGAGGGTATGCAAAGGACCATACTTGCACTGTTGACGTTGTGTGTGGTGACCATAGGCAAGCAACAAGCCTTATCATTAGTGAATGTGTGAAGCAAAAAGTCATTGATGGAGAATGTAATGACATGAAATCAATAATTAAGCACATGCGTAAGGAATTTGGAGTTGGTGTTAGTTATTACAAGTCATGGAGAGCAAATGAACTTGTTTTGGAAGCAATTCAAGGTTGTTTAGAGGACTCTTATACCCAATTACCTTCCTTGTGCTATGCTTTGAGTTACACAAATCTTGGTACGTATTTATCATTAATATACATTTATTTACTAATGATATATTCAAGTAGTAACTAAATTAGATATATTGTGTTATTTAGACAGTAATTATGTTTTATATCCTACTTTGTTGTCTGATTATTAATAATATGACACAGGTACTGTTACTGATATTGAAGATGGCGGTAATGGTCATTTTAAGTATTTCTTTGTATCATTTGCTGCTTCTATTGAGGGATGGAGCCATTGTCGACCAATTATATCCATTGACGGAACTTTTTTAAGGAACAAATATGCAGGGACTCTTCAAATTGCATGTACTATGGATGGAAATAATTCAATCTTTCTATTAGCATTTGCAGTTATTGACTCAAAGACTGATGTTTCTTGGGAATGGTTTATGTATAAGTTGAAGAGTGCATCATACTATCATCAAGACCTAGTCTTTGTTTCAGACAAGAAAAGTAGTATTCTAAAGGCTGTGTGTAATGTATTTTCTGATGCTACCCATTATATTTGTGTATAACATTTGTTAGGTAATATAAGAACAAAGTTCAAACACCCTTCAGTTGTTGGTATCTTCAATCATTATGCTAGGGTATATAAGTTTTCTGATTTTGAACATGAGATGAAGAAATTAGATCAAGCGGCACCTGGCATTCGTGATTATCTTCTAGATGTGGGTTATGAAAAGTGGTCACATTGTTATTCTATGAGGAGACGGTATGATACTATGACTTCTAATATATCAAAAAGTATGAACTCTACTCTAGATGATGCAAGGGACCTACCAATTATACTATTGATTGAGTTTATTAGGAATAAGCTCCAAGACTGGTTTTATACACGAAGGATGCATGCTAATTCTATATCTTCTCATCTAACACCATGGGCTGAAAAATAGTTGTCTGAGCAAATAGAGCTTGGTAGACGTATGGAGGTAACAACTGAACCTATCTTAATTGATATACTATTGAATATCATTGATATATTGACGTTGAAACTTATCATTGTTATATTGTATCGCATTTTTATTGTAGGTCAAATGATGTAAATGAATTCACTACAGTGCATGGCAAATCTAGTTTTATTGTTTACTTGGAGATTAGAAGCTGTAGTTGTAGGAAGTGGGATTTTGAAGAGATTCCTTGCTTTCATGCTTGTGCAGTAATTAGCAAGCAATGATTTTGTGCATATAATTTTATTTCTCGGTACTACACAAAGTATTCATATAGTTGCACATATGGGGCAACAATTCATTCGTTAGGTAATCAATGTGATTGGGAAATTCCTAGTAAAATGCTTGAAACAATCTGATCCACCAGAGACAAAAAGAGGTGCTGGTAGGCCTAAGAAGACACGAATTCTATTGGTTGGCAAGTTTAAAAAACCTATTAGGTGCAGTCGTTGTAGGCAATTTACATGTAACAAAGCTACTTGCAAGAACCATATACCTATTAGATTTAGCATCCCAAAGAAGCAAAAGACTATAGTTGGATCTACTAGTCAAATTTAAATTTTTTTTGGACATTTCAAATTTATTTTAGTCTTTCTATAAGTGAAACTTAATGAATTTGAATTTGTTTTTAGTTATTCATATGTTTTGCGTCATAGTACATTGCTGATGAACAATAATTTTTTTATTGTTCACATATAGCCATAATATTTTTTTTCTTTTAATCTTTTGTAAACTGTCTTTGGAGATAGTTTAAAAAATTATAAGAATTAAAGGGAAGCACTTTAGTTCCTATTTATAAGAATAAAAGCGATTTTCATAATTGTGCATAGAAGCCTTTGAGAGGCACGTGGTAGCATATGCGAACGTGGTAGCACGTATGCAATATGCAACTCAAAACACCCAACAGAGGAAACAAAAGAATGATCAATATAAAAGTAACCATAAAAGATTCATATTTTATCACCTCGAAATTAAAAGTCTATTTTCTTTGGTCAGTGCAATTAGATATATATCAATGATTAAGAGCGCAATTCATATCGATCATCTACTAAAGGGAACAAAAGACTAAAATTAACCGAAATACAAAAGGCTAAAGGTGCATCAACTTCATTAGTCCTTCAACTTTTCTATAGTTGGTTGAATTAGTCACTCATAACTAGGACCGTCATATTGATCATCCTCTTTTTGGTCCTTTTTTTGCGCTTTATCCTCATTGGTTGATCTATAATTTACGGTGAAAGGAGACTGAAGTGCAGCAGGTGTCTTTGTTGACCTCTTAAGCCTTTCAACTTTCATCCTATTAGCAATTTTCTTGATTCGTACCCTTTTTTGTTGGTCCTTTGGAGGTTCAACCATTTCGTCGGCCTAGAAAAACAAAGAACAAAGAGTTAATAGCAAATGTATGCTATAAAAGTATAATGAAATAATACAGCACTGGTCCTTTATTGTAATGTATGTCATTCATATTCAGTCCCATGAACTATAACAATCAACATATGACTAATATATCATTGATATCCAACAGTACAGCATTGATATACATTACTATAATGTACTTTTTCCATATAATCTTCAACAATGAATATGAATCATATCGTCAACAAATGATAATTTGATTTAGTTTCCCATATGAAGTATAATTTATACCTGCTTCTTTTCCTTCAATTGCTGATTGGTATTTGTTGATTCATTCAGGTGGCAACCTTCTTGGTTGCTAGCCCTCTCAACATTTGAAGGCATCACTGACATTGGTCCCTAATCAAGTCAAAAGCAACATGAAAAAATTAAAACAAGTAACAGTTTAATATAGGTGGAATTACAACATTTCAGCCACATGAACTATAATAATCAAACATATGACTAAATATATATTGATATCCAACAGTACAGCATTGATATACATTACTATGGTGTCCTTTTTCTATATAATCTTCAATAATGAATATGAATTATATCGTCAACAAATGATAATTTGATTTAGTTTTTCATATGAAGTATAATTTGTACTTGCTTCTTTTCTTGCAATTTCTGACTGGTATTTGTTGATTCATTCGGGTGGTAGCCTTCTTGTTCGTTACCCCTCTCAACATTTAAAGGCATCATTGCCATTGGTCCCTAATCAAGTCAAAAGCAATATGAAAAAATTAAAACAAGTAATAGTTTAATATAGGTGGAATTATAAATAGGAAACAAAGTAAATCTTAACTCACTTGGTTGTTTTCCTCTTTTTCATGAAGATTATCCTCACTCACAACAACCTTAACATTGATAGAATGGAAGATATCATCAATATTATTAACACTCTTATCTTTGTCTCCACTATTTTCTTGTTGTGCGACAAGCATGTCAAACATTTTTTCTATCACTGATCGCATCTCTATTTGACTTTTTGCGATCTCAATTTGTCTTTCTTTAATTTGTAGCTGTCGCTTCTTAATTATCTCAAGCTTTTTGTATATTCTCTTACTTTCTGATCTAGAAAGTGAGCCTCGCATATTTGTTTCTGGGTCATCATTGTCAGTATCTTCAACACTTAGAGGTGACACAGTAGATGTTCCTACTGCAGCTTAAGTCGTGCTCTTCTCTCCTAAAAAAATGTCCATATAATCCTTTTCCCATTCTTGATTTGTGATGACCAACTCTTATATTTTCAACTGTAATATCCAAAATAAAATGATACATGATGAGTTATAGCTGCTAATTAATGTCAAATGCAAGTAATACTTAGCAATTTTTCAATATATATTAGATATAAAAAATCATATATCACTGATATACAAGTACATACCACTGATATACCATTATATAGCACTATTATACAAGACAGTGAACTCTACATTTTTCATTTTCCAATAATGCATATCAATTGCACCCATCTGTATATGATTGACATATAGTTACAGAAACTACTAAATATTAAATGATTTACAAAAAGTAAACGTGATCACGTTCTTTGCATTCTTTGCATTGAACATACTTAAATACAAGGTAAATATAAAATTACGAACATACTTACATCCTTCACATTGATCACGTTCTTTTCTAGTTGTGACCACTCATAATAATCATTCGTTGTCTAGTTCAATATCTTTGGGAGTGTGTCTCCTACTTTTTCAGCATATTTATGCTTTTTTAATGCCAGTATCATTTCATATGCCCAATTAACAATGGCATATAGGAATCCTTCAATTCAATAATTGACACTAAATTTATTAATTGCATCCTTGAAAGATTCCATAGTCATGTTGTAGCACACCCTTCCCTATGGATATTTTTCAAACAAGTTATCATCTTCAAGCAACTTGTAAAACTTATGATCAATGGCATTATGATCTTGCTTTGACAAGAGCATGTTCTCTAAACAATTAAGTTTTGGTAACTTGACAAAATCAGCATCATTGTTTGGGATGTTGCCTCTAAAGACAGAGAAGACGTCCTTTCTTTTAGGCAACGTGTTCTTGACTTGAAAGAATTTGTCTATGAAGGCTGGGATGGGTTTTTTATTAAAGTTCATAGCAGGTAAAGGATTACAATTTAGGCCAGTAACGATTGCAAACTCCTTTAATCCAAAGGTTAGCACTTTTCCTCCAATCAAAAAGTATAACTTGTCATCCCTTTTGCCAGGCCATTGGCTTCGAACCAACTAATGCACTAATTACCCTGGAAAAGCATGGATTTTTTTGTTTAGTAGGTGTCCTAGACATCCTTCTTTGAATGTTTCAAGCTGCTCCTCATTTAGTTTTTAGGTTATTATTTCAACAACTTCAATCTTGCTGCCATGCAAAATTCTCTGGTGAGGATTCCAAAGTTCCTTATGGACTATATATTCTCTTGTGCTTCTTTGGTCTTAACTTATATTCTCTATTTCCTCTTTGTCTTTCCTACAAATGGCCCTTGAAGTTGTTGCCCCTGATATTTTAAAAAAGTGTTAATATATTTAAGTACTAGCATTGATCAATCAAATACAAAAGTAATGAAAAAAATACACTTCACAATGGTATGTCTTTGATATAGGTACATATATCATTGGTGTACTAATGGTATATCATTGATATATTTATCAAAAAAGGAACAAGAGATGTCAATTATATATTTAAGTATCAAGCAGAGGTTGTGTCAATTAAATCAAAAGAGAAGCTGATAGCAACTTGGACTTTGGACTTTTTGACACAAAAAGGATTGTCGGCCAAATATGCAAAACACAACCATAATAGATCACAGTAGAAAGGGTTCACCCAAACATGGTCATAATTTAACAGTTAAAATACTCATATGTCATGTTAACAGAAAGATATGCCACCGACAAGTGCTGAAATAATTCTTTGTGACAGATTAAGTTTTGGAGACAAATATTAATGCAATTATCATATGAAGCATTTTATCATATTTATTTGGTGACAAACAACGCATACATTTATTTATAGAGGTTAAGCCACAGAAAACAGCCACTCAAGACAAATAGGCAAGTAAATTAGGAAAATAGATGAGCACTAAGGATGAATGCCATAAGAAATAACATGCTAACAACTTACAGAAAAAGCATATAGAGAAAATATTGGGGCATAAATCATGGGATTCTTTTGATGAAATTTGTGCACTTGCTGTTACAAGAAGCCATGATCTTAATTGATTGATAAACAAAGAGTTATCAGGGGAAAGATCAAATCATAATATAAATAATAGAACATTGTAATTCAAGTTTGATCATTTTTCCTTGGTTATGATTATGAAAAATTTTTATAATGCAAAAATTTCCCTGGTTACCATTTTCCATCCTAACCGTACCTTCTTTTTCAAGTTGTCATTTTGGCTAGCCAAACCATGAACACAAAAGTATCCCTCAGCCAATAGGAGTTTATTTGACAGCCAAACATCTCACCTAAGCAGATCATCAACTTGAAGTCGTGATGACTAAGCTACAAAATCCAAACCAGAACTACTAGCAGGCGAGTGATTTATAAACTTTTTTTTTCCTTTTTTACCAAGGACTGGGAGGGAGAGGACAGGTCACCTTTTTATTATCAGTATCTTTCTATTTTACCAGGGACCGATAAGCAGATTTATCGACAAAGACCTAAAAAAGACCTCACAACAACTGGCCAATTAGCTTCTTAGATTGGTTTGATTTGACAAAATATATCAATGATATAAAGAAAAAACCTGGTGAAGTGCGACGATTCCTCCTCTTTGGCGGTATTGATAAAAGACCTGAAACCTTCACTTGAACTCTGCCTTCAGTAACAGAGTATGACCAGTAACCCACCCTCAATCTGAAGTTTTAACATGGCTTTATGTAGAAGATGTAGTTCTGGACTTTCTCATCTCTTCATAATTTTTGACCTTAAATCTGTAGCAGCGAGTCTGCCTACCTCACGTTCGTCTTTATTAGTAGATGAATATGTAGAGCTTCGATTTGCCTCTTCTCACATTCGTGTGGTCTTCTTTTCCAAAACTGTAAGTCAGTTTTTCATCTGGTGTGAGCTTTTTTGGTCGTTGCTGTTAGTTTCTTTGGTGTTTGACTGAGAGTGCAGCGTCGTCTTTCGTGTGGGGTAAAGTGAGTGAAAGCGAGTGTGGGCCAAATGTTCAGATCTTCAGTTTGAAAAAGGGAATCAGGATAGTGGGGTTTTTTTTTTTACCGAAGGCATTAAGGTAATTTTATCTTTTGCATGAGAAGAAAATTAAGAAAAAGCCATTCTCTTAATTTAGGAAAAGGTGGGTTATTAGTTTTATTTAGTTATATAAGGTTGGCCAAATTTGCTAAAGCCCCAAAAAATAATTATATATGAATAACTATGCCCTTATATTATTAAAATTATTTCTTTCCTTACTTTTTTTTAAAAATTTTAAATAACATGTACTTGTGAATTTTAAAAAATAAGGATAAAAATATGCATCTCACCCACTAAACCACATAAAACACTATCTTTTTTAAAAGTACAGATCAAATATTTATATTAAAAAATAAAAATATAAAATATGATAAAATATTAATTAATATATAAAACACACTGATATAACAAAGGACTATGATTTGAACGGAGAGAGGAAACCATGATCTAAATGGAGGGAAAAGCAACAATGGATGACAGTCTAAATAGAAGGAGAAGCATTGGTGGATGACGATCTAAACAAAGGGAGCAATGATATTGGCGTGAGTTAAGAGAGAGAAATGGCAACACGAGCAGTTGTGAAGAACTTCGATGTGGATGACAATTTGAATGAAAGGGGCAACAACTACGATGCGAGTGGAGGAGATGGACAGTGGCATGATCTAAGGGAGATGTGTTTAACCATGTGTTTTGATAATCACAAAACTAAGAGAGGTGTGTTTATTTCTTATGTAGATTTCGAGAACCATTAAAGTGATAAAACCTTATAAAATATAAAGGTCAAGAGAAGACTTAGTATAGTAGGTTTATTTATTTTCTTTTCTTAGATTCAATATGGAAACTATGAAAACTTAATCACATTTCTTTAAATGGTAAGAATATATCATTTTAGAACCAATCTTAGGTTCATAAGTCTTTTAAATTTAAATGTTGAACCTTTAGAGTGCACCTGAATCTATTGTTCCAATCCACACTTAATATGGGATGATCCACACGTGTTTTGGCAACCATAAAGTGCATAATGAGACTTAGAGAATTTAGTAGATCTAATTCAAGCGTAGGCTAGAATGAATCTCACTTGAATTAGATTGTAGAAGTTAAACATTACTTTGTGAATCATTCCACATGTAAATCAGAGTGATCTATGTGTGTTTTGGCAGCTAAGTGTGAAAATGTTTTAGAGATGCTCATGTGTTTTGATTCACACTTGAATACAATTTATGCTTATGCTTGAATTGTCTAAGAGAGTCAGCTTGCGTTTGCATAAATGACATTTTATGCCTAGATTAGGATGGTCTACACTTGAAATGGAACTTACCTTTTTTGGGTTAAAGCTTGACCTTAAAGAACCTATAACCAAGCAAGCCAAATCAAGCTTGTTTTGGAATGTTTCAAGCGTGTTTTGTCACAAAAAAATTAGGTGCTTCTATCATCCATTCCACACTTGAGGGGTATTCATGTGTGATTTATTACACAGAGAAGCTAAAAGCTTCTATCATCCAAAGCATTTTAGCCCCCATATGAGTGAACCAGGAGAAATTGCACAAGCTTCATTCCACACATGGATAGAGCCATTTTATGCTTGAAATGGATTTTGACATTGTACTAAATGTTGAGAACACATTTATTGAATATTAAAGTGTTTGCATTCATTTTCTTTCCAACTTCTTAACAGTTTCATGAAACAAACTTTTATAAATTTATAAGCTTTCATCATAATTTATCTACTCTTTTTAGAGAGTCTTTTTTAAAAGTTTTATTTATTTTACTTGAGTGGAAATATTAAAAAGAGAGCTTTTTAAGTGCTTTGTAACAACTTGATAGTATAACAAGTGTTATTGTTGAATCAAAATTAGTATAGTCTTGAAAGCTGTATTGTAATGGCAAGCACCCATTGAAACTTGTGATTATAGTTGAATATCTCAAGGGTGATCTTAAGGATTAAATGTAAGTTAAGTGGTTAGGCCAAACCAAGATAAATCTATTGTATCAAGTTTTTCTTCTCAAGCTTCTTAAATTTCTAGTGTTTTTTTCATATTCTTGTCCGCATTCACTTGGGATGGGAAAAGGTTTAAAATTTTTTTAAAACAGCCAATTTACTTCTCCTCTTAGGTGCCTGCCTTATCCACCAAGATAGACATCATTGTGATCTAGGGAAGAGGGATAATGGCCTGACAATTCAAAAAAGAGGGAGGGTATTTTTAGGTTATCATATTATAATATAAGTAAATTGGTCCTAATAAGTCATATTATACCTCTTCCCTCCTTAGCCACCTATTATGGAGGGAAAGGATCCCTTTTTTTACTACTTAAATAAGGGAAGGAGAGCAAAATCCCTCCCCTCCTCTTTCTCAAACCAAAAAAGAGGTAAATTTTAAAAAAATCTAACAAACACTCATGTAAGTTGTTAGATATGAGAGAAATTTATCCTAACCAATCATTTAGGCAACTTTCATTTATACTAATTAAGATATCACTTCTAAAACTATGACATTCTCATGTTCTTAACAAATACCACTATATATAAAATATTATTTCTTCTTCTTTTGGAAGAAGAGAAGAATAAACCATGTTATTCTCTTATTAAAGGCAGCTTTATCTAAAATACAATCAGACACTAAATATAATTTTTTTTAATAAAAATTTAAATTTTGATTCGTCATGTGTGAGAAACTAGTCCCTCCACTTAGTGGCAGAGCCACATGTATGTAGGGGTATCAATTTGAGAAAATTAGATAGTAGGCTATAAAGTTTTATATTTTTTGCCCATTCTTTCTATATTTTGCACCCCTTATTTTGATATTTTAAATTTGAAACTCATTTGAGTCCTAAATGATAATAAATTAATTGTTCAATTATTTCAAAACATAAAAACATAATAGAAAATTATTAAGTATGTATTTATTTATCAATTTTTTATTTCTTTAAATTAATATTTAAATAAGGATTAATGAGTATCATAAACCATAAACTATTGTGTGAATAATATCTTGGACTCTAAACTCCTAAGTGTATAAAAAATCTCCTCAACTTTTAAATTTCAAATGCTACATCTGCATGCAATTAAGCCCCACAATTACAAAAGTAACGACTAACATTGTTTTCTTCAGCTTAAGGGTAGGGTTTTGGGTGCTTGTAATTTCAAAGTTAAAATTTTTTTTATACATTTTAAAAGTTTAAAATTCAAAAACTATTTGCGTAACCCTCCTGATCTAGGATTTTGACTCTATCGCTGCCTTCATTAGACCAAACCTGTAAGTAAGTGGTAATTATGAATCTTTACTAGTTGCCGCAAAACGAAACGCTTGATTTTTTTTTTTTTGGCTTTTTTATTTCTGTATGAAAGGAAATTCCTTGAATATTAGGGAGCAAAATTGGTTGCAATGCACTACAGTTTGGACCATCTAAATTTTAGCAATTTTTTTTATATTTCAAATAATTTTTTATTTTAATAATTTTAGTTATAAAATAAAGATGATTTCTAAATTTTATATTTTTCAAAAATAAATTTATTAGTTAGAAAGTATATATTAAAATTTTTAAATTTGCATTGTTTAATAAGTTCGTTGATGGTTTGTATGAGAAGCACACTTGATGTCGTCAAAAGTAAAAAGATATCCCTCCTTTAAATCATCGATGCCTTACAGTTTATACTTCATCAGTGGCTAGAAGTTTCAAGTCATATGGCATTTTGTACAATCACATCACACACACACACACACACACACACACACAAATATCACGTAGTTAGATATACAATATGTTGAGAAAGGATGGAAAAGACTCCAATATGGGTAAAAAGAAGAAGAAAAGTATGGAGAAAAGTAAAATCCAATCAAATTAAAGGCTTGGACCACACTCCAAATGCAAAAGTGTATATACTAGTAGAGTGTGTTTGGTTTGCAATATTGAAGTTAAAATAGATCAAGGTTTGCAAATTAAAATTAGAATAAAAATCATCAACTTTAAACTTGATTTATGTTACGTGTTTTAAAATTTTTCTCATAACTGAAATCGAGTTCATATTTTCAACTTTCATATAAATGGGTTTCTAGACATCATTTCAAACCTTCCAATAACCTTTTACAAACTCAAATTGAAGTTTCGGCCAACTGAACCTCAATTTAGATATTATCCAGACAAAGCCTGAATCTTTTAGGCCCCGAATGTTGAATTTCTCAGCCCTCACCGTTCAATTTTCTTTTGTCCCTATCTCCCCTCTTTGCTGCTCATATAGCTACCATCAACCTTGATCCGTCCCTGACTGCTTGATACTTTTTTATTTGATGAAGACTACTTGATATTTTATTTAAGAAGAGAATCTGCATTTGGTGTATATCGCGAGAGAGATTGAGAATGACGTCCGAGTCCGAAATGAATTTTCTTGATTGGACCTGTTTCCTTGAAGCAATCTTCATATTCAAAGGTTTGCTGATCAGTTAATTACTCCAACGATGAATTTAAGATGATATATAATATAAAATTGATAATTTTCTAATCCTGTTTTGACAAAACATGTCCCCATTAATATCCCTGCGCACATATATCATGAACGCGATTACAGAGCCGGGCTCAAACCAGTCCAACAGAGCAAAGCAGCCTAACATCATCGCAAATTTAAAATTGATTATAAAATGAATATAGTTTTACATCAAACAAATTTTTGTCCATTCTCCTAAGATTTGGTACGAACACGACAACTTGGTACGGCGAGCAGGTGCTCAGCTTTCGGCATTGAAAGACCAAACTTCTCCTTCATGTCCAGATCTTCTGGCGTCATCCCCGACGGAAGCTCCCAGCGGAAACAATGGATCAACTGAGCCACCACCAGCTTCACCGTACACAGCCCCAATTGTATCCCCGGACAGCCTCTCCGACCAGTCCCGAACGGCATAAAAATCAGGCTGTCTCGTCCTCGGAAATCAACCTCCGTCTCCAAAAACCTCTCCGGCCAAAACTCCTCCGTCTTCTCTGGCCAAGCCTTAGGATCTCGCCCCAACGCCCACATGTTCACCATGATCCTCGTCTTCTTCGCTACGTAATAACCACCAACCTCGACGTCCTCGACTGTCTCTCGCGGTAACAAGGACCCTGCCGGGTGCAATCTGAAGGTCTCTTTAACCACCATTTCCAAGTAGTCCAATTTCCCGATGTCTTTCTCTTCTACGAGGTTGTCTGGTCCGATCACAGTGTCGAGCTCGTGTTGGAGGGCTTTCATAACCATGGGGTTCCTCAGAAGTTCCGACAGGGCCCACACAATGATCGTGGCGGAGGTCTCGAGGGCGGCGCCGATCATGTCGACCACGATGGCCTTGATGTTGGTTCGATCAATGTCGTCGTCTTCGTGCATAAGTGAGAGTAGTATGTCGATGAAGTCGTTGTGGTTTGCTTTGGAACTGGAAGCTTCCTCGTGCTCCTTCAATATCTCCTCCAAAACTTCATCCAGTGCTTTGCCAATTCTCTTGAATCGTCTTCTCATTCCCTGAGATATATATACACTCAAAAATGTAAATTCCCAAGTTGTCTATATATCTCAAGTTTCCATTCTTCAAAAAAAATACTTTAAATTAAAATACTTTGTAAATTAATTAAATATCGTACCTGAAAATCAAACACTCCCAGCCAAGGAACATAATCAGCAAGATTAAAAGCGCCAGAAAGGCGCATGACCTCTTGAACAATCCCCTTCAAATCAAGCCCATGGTTCTTCTTAATATCACACCCCAATATCGTCTTATAAACCATACTCTCAAGAACATCATTAACCACTTCACTGAGGTTCACAATCTGATTCGCCATAACAGCTCTATCAACCTCCTTCACCATTTTTTCTACCTCCTTCATCCTCAGAGGAGCAAAGGACTCCACCTTTGAGGCGCTAAGAAGGTTAAGCTTGCACAGCCTCCTCATGCCACGCCAGTAAGGACCGTACTCTGAGAACACCAACCCCTTGAACCCGTAGGAGAAATACTCGAAGGCTTGGAGCAGAGGCCGGTTGGCGAAAACGACGTCGTTTGACTTGATGAAGAGCTCAGCGGCATTCGCCGTGGACAATACTATGGTTGGGACGTGTCCGAGACTTAAGCTCATGATGGGTCCGTATGTTGTGGCTAGGGTTTGGAGGGAGCGATGCGGGAGTTCGCCGAGCAGGTGGAGGTGGCCGAGCACCGGGAGGCCGGGCGGGCTGGGCGGTTGTTTCCACCCATGTTTACGGCTGCTGGTCTTTAAGACGGCAGCGATAATGGATGTGAATAGCAAGGTGAGGAAGGCTAGGTGGATATCTAAAGTCCAAGGAAACATGCTGGTCTGTGGTTGGTTGTCACGCTCTTGGTGGAGAGTTTTATTATATATACAAAGACTATGGGCACTCAAATTTTCCGAAGGTGATGATGATACATTCAATTTATTCCTAGGGTGGTTATATATAAATATGTGTGTGTTAACAATTAATTACTCCGGTTTCGAACAGGGTTTAAAGCTTACACCCTCCTGAGTCTTGACCTGGGCGTTTTTGAGAATGATAGTCTAAAATATACGACTTCAGATATGTAATATATATATATATATATATATATTTAATTATATATTTATTTTATTATACTTCATGCAATAATTAATAAATATGTGTTGAATAAGTTAAATATTATATTTATTTTATAAAAAATATGATTAAAAATGTAAATTTTTTTTAAAAATTAAGATTTTAACCAGCTTTTTTAAAAAATTTGACTGAATGACCGTGCAGATTGACTAGCGAAAGGAGTTCATGATCCTCATCCACAGTGCAAGAACGGATTGATTTGGTTGGAAATATAATAGGAAGAATTATGTTTAAATCTTACGTAAAAAAATTAATTACTATAATATTCCGTAATAATTGAATTAAAAAAATTGATAACTGATTATATTATCAATTTTTTTAATTTAATTATTAATTAATTTTATAATAATTAATTTTTTTATTTGGAAGGTGGATGTAATTCTTTCAATATAATAATTACTTGCGGTCAATTGTTTTCTTATGAATATGCCTTTCTTGGTACGTTGTATGGTATTAAAGTTAAAAAACGACGAAGTCTTCGCTGACCGAACAAAACAAAAGGTGGCATAGTCTTCTTAGTTCTTTCTGCCGTTGTTACCCCAAAACAAAGTTTCTTTGGCCTGCACTACCCAAAAGAATTTAAAAGCAAAACAGCAAAGAAACCAATAATAATTAATATCAATATCATGCATGACTCACATCTAAATATCTAATGACCATACATGTATAATACAAATCGAATATATTCTTCGCTTTTAATCAATATTAACGTCAAATTCATGAATCCCGTTCTCATTTTTTTGGGAAACAAAAAACAGAATAAATTGTTAATTTTATTGTTTAAACATTATCGTTAAGAAGATGGTTAAATAATAAAAAAAATCAATATCAATATTCTTTAAAATGTTAAAAGGATCAATTATAATTAACAAATGATATACCATCTTTATTAAAAAAATGTAAGACATTTTTTAAAAAATTAAATATTAAAATATGTAAATTATTTTTAATATTTTAAAGTATAACTATTGTATTTTTTTTAAGATACCCTATAAATAAATTACTTTATATTTATTTTAAATTAAAATATTTTATTAAATAAAAGTAAATATAAAAAGATGATATTAATTTAAAAATAAATAATTAATTTATTAAAAAATAATATTCGATTAAAAATACATTCTATTTTCAAACAGAGAGAGAGAGAGAGTATTTAGAAAGAATAAAATACGATCTAAATCAATTAGTATAACCAACTTCTATACATCTCTTCAGGACTCTTCATTGCAGCAGCGGTCCCTTGACGACCTTGACCATTTTGACGTCTTTCCTTTTGTCTCTCACTATCGTCCGGCGACACTTTGCTTCAGCTGGTTTTTCTTTCCCTCTGTTTTTTTATATCTTTAAAACCTTATAAATTTTTCGATTTGATTATTATTGCAACATAAACCATTTCTGATAAATTAAATGATACCACTTTCTCTTCTGACCAATCCAATGGATGGCATCCTCCAAAGTTACGAGAATAATTACATAAAAGACAATTCGACAGATACAACAAGCAAACAAACAATCTCATTATCTTGCATTGATAATATCTGGAAATGCATATGATTGCAAAAGACCTAATTTCAACATCAGTGTGCTCTTCCAAAATTTGAACTTACATTGCGATATAACAAAAGAAATTCTAAGATTGTATGCCTCGCACCAAAGGAAGACGCACGAAGTTTATTAAAACTGAAAGTAAATCCCATCACTTGAAAACACCTATTCTTTGTGAGTTTCATTGACACTATGCTCCTGTGCAGCTTAAAATTTCTTGACATGATATATAACACGCATAACTCCACATATACTTCTCATAACCTTGGGTGAAAAAGGACAAACAGAGGGAGGTGTACGCAGAAGCTCTAGGGCAAAACGAATCTATGAGCAGAAGTTGAAAATTCAAATTCTGATCAACATGCATTGCAGCTTTTCCTGCACGTGCCAAAGTAATCAGGAGAACCAATCATATATACAGGATTTCTTTGACATTCTCCCATGGCAGCCCAGGTGGCACAATTATCATCCTCATCAGTACATTCATTACCACCATATAATGAGGATGAGATCTTCTCCCCACCAGCCGGTCTGGCATAGAAGAATTTAGTCGCAGACCACATTTCACCCTCAAGGACAGGGCATCTAGCATGTGAGCTACTTTTATCAGGAGATGCGCTAAGGTGAAGAGAGAAAAAAAGAATTGCACTCCCTTTGATCGGCTTCAGATAGCTATCATCACTGCTACAGTCATACCAGCTTGCACTCTTGGGCTGTTAAACGTGTTCAGCATATGATTAAATAGTAAAGACAGGTTCAGAACCAGATGAATAGAAAGATACAGCGCGCAGAGAGAGAGAGAGAGAGAGAGAGGCTAGGGAATGGGCCACCTCACCTCTGACTCAGGGAAGAGAATTTGGCCCCCTTGAGTGACATTTGAGAGATATAAAACAACTGTGGCCATCAAGGATCCGCTCAACTCCAAGTCGGATTTGTTAAAAATGTTGTAATTTTGTCCGGCCCTTTCAAGTCCATAATGCATGACCTGCATAGGCTTGCTGTTCTCTGGTAAACATCATTATCAAGAAATCAAGCCAAACCATACATTAGAATGAGCATCACAAGTTATAGGAAGGTAGACACTGGCCTGGAATGACACTATTAATAGTGATACCTTTAGGAAGGAAAGTCCAAAGTGAAATTCTTTCTTCAATCCTTGCAATAATATCATCCTAAAAACAATTTAAACCATTAACATAACAATATCCAGAGAATTGTGTCTCTGACGATAGGTGGCTGATGAAAAGAGCTTAAAACAACAAGCAGATATGGTTCTGGCAATTGAAGCAAAAAAGGAAAAATACTTTCTTTTGTTTTGTTTTTTTTTAAGATCTTTTCATGTTTTCTATTGCAGTAATTCAAAATACTTGATGTTAAGAGATCAAAGTTCAAAAATATCATACTAAGACTAAGAGAAGTAAAGAACTTCCAATGGTTATGAAAGGCAGCAGGACTGCTATGCATGTAAGCACTCTATTAGAAACCTCAGTTGGAGAGATAAACCGACCCAGGGACTCACATGCTTTGGAAGGATATCACTCATTTGCTTTTGCTCTTTCGGTACTACTGGTTTGAAGAGTCGCAAGAGAGGTGCTTTCATTGGTGGAAATCTTTAGATTGCATTCTTAGGAATTATATTAACCATGCTAACTTAAGTAACTGCTACTTACCTGTTTGATGTTGTAGTTGACTCTAAATTAAGGGAAAAAGAAAAAAGAAAAGGGCACCCTACATGGCCTGTTTTGCTTTTACCCAATTTGGATTTAAACTCCCCTAGGTAAAGAGTTTACATACTTAAAACAGGAATCTTCAGGCTGGTTCTTGGCAATTTGATACCCTAAGTTACCCTCGTTGATATCTTGGAAAATTCTTAAAATTAAAGGTAATAAATAGTACCTCTTTTTGGTTGCCGTTATCTCTGAAAGCCTATAAACACAACCATACAAACTCATCCTTTCTTTATGTTTTCCAAAAGCCAAAAGTCAAAGCTGGTTCTTATCTAAATAGATACTGTTGTCGCAAAATCTAATGCATGCAATCCACAGTTTAAAAAGAATAAAAATAATAATAATAATGGGAAGACGTAGAAGGAAAAATAGAGGAAGTTATACAGAAAAGACAATATAGACTACAAGAGATGATGTACAGATTTTAAAACAAAAAACTCAAGCACAATAAATATTTGACACATGCTCCACTTTGTAAACTAGTGATTACTGGTATTAGAAATGTGGCATATTTGCAAATGGATAGATAAGAAATTAAAGAAAGCACAAGTAACATGAAGAATGTCCACGGATGATAAAGTAAAAGGAATATGACTAATTATACAAGAAATATACATGCTAGCACTCTTTAACAAACTTACTATAGTTCACATAGGGATAACCCAGTAGAGAGAATCTTAGAACAGGAGAACCCATTTTGATTCATAGTGGCTTAAACACACACACACACTAACAATTTGCCATCAATAAAAGATTCCAAAAAATACCAAAAAAAAAAAATCTTCGAAACCTTGAAGTCATGAAAAGCACAATACTTAAAATATGACTGCAAATAGAACCTAATTCGACAATTTTAGAACAAGCACATTTAAAGGGCACCATCCAACCATATAATCAAAAGTTCACACTCACTTCCGTGGTCAACAAAGTATCTGAGGTAAGCTTCTGGTTCATTACATCTCCCTCTAAATGACGATCCACCTCTGAGGATTTTTCTTTCACAGTTTGTGCCTAAGAAAAACAAACAATTAAATTCAAAGTCTAGTCCAAGTGTTATAAGCCAGTATGCTAAGTACAGAAGGGAATAATACCAAGGAAATGAGGTAGTCACACTCCTTATCTGACAAAAAACCTTCGTAGAGAAAGACCCTGTAGCCCAGGGAGCAACAGCAAAGTTTAAAGGCACAAAAAACAGAGATAAACAAGTTAAAGTAAATAGAAGAGTGTATATCTAAACCTGCAGACTGTAGTCTATCCATTCCAAAGAAATGACCTATCACAGAATAATTAACAGAGAAAAGTCTTTAAAAGTACCTGACCTTGGTCGCCAAGAGAGCTGATGAACATGCGTTGGGTCAATTCTGTTGGGATAAACTGAGTGCTCCAATTGTAAAAAAGTTTTCTGGCTCAATTCCTTACTCCTTAATCCCTTCCGGCTGCAAAAGCCAAAAAAGTAATGTAACATTGTATATTAGTAATAGTGACTGGTAGCCGTAAGGAAGGAAATGTATTCTCGAGTGGCAAGAGGAAGAAATCTTTATTTGCGTTGGAAAGCTACAGGGTAAAGGTTCACCTATTTGGACAACATATTGTCAAACCAAATATTCCACAACATATATAGGAATGTTGACATGCACAAGTTAGTACACACATACACAAACAAATAAACAGAACACCTTAGCCGGCCATTGTTATCTCCAATTTATTTACTCCAACAGAAAATCGAAAAAACAAAAACCCGCGAACACATTTATGTAAGACAGTTTTGATTCATGCAGACATCTTCAATTCTCCATTCATGCCAAGGATTTCAAAATGAAGTTAACGCTATTATGAAGAGAACAACTCAACAAGTACACTTGTGTTGACGACATTCTTACCTACATTATATATTAGAGTGATCAAGATAGTATAGTTTATACCATTTGCGGAAAAATATGAAATTTTCACGTTGAAATAGTTATATAATCCTTCTCGAAATATAAACTCCACTTTCACAACTGGACTATTTGCATATCCAAGAAACATCAACAAAGACCTAGCTAAAACAAGATCACTGAGAAAACCATATAGTTCGCATCTAGATGTTTAGTTAATCAAGGAATTCAAATGGAAAATTGTCCGCATTCAATTTCACAGGCAAAATTAACACATGGAGAGAAATGGACAGGCATCTCACCTTTCCGCAAAAAAGCTTCCAAGGTAGCAGGCAAACAGAGAAAGCAAGAACACAGTGATGAGGGACGCCATTAACAATGGCAGGAAAGAAAAGGCCCAGGTAGAAATAGGATCAACACCAGAGAAATAATGCAATTCTATCTTCAAACCTGAAACACGATTTATGATTCGCGTTGGATTTCAATTGCTTCGGGCAAATTAATTGACATCTCGAAAGTTCTTCACTTTAATTCCAAGTTTCCTTTGTGAGGAGAATCTTATTTTGAGGGTAGATTTCAACCCTCCCATTCCCCTTTTTATTTGCCATAAACCATTCATCCGTAACTATTTTTGTGATTTTAATCAGTTAATTAAAAAATTATTCATTTAGTTCACAAATAACTTATTTTATGTTAAGGATAAACCAGTTACTTAAGTTTAATTGAAAGCTAATTTTAAAATTACATAAAGTAAAAATATGCTAATATGCTAATATATTATAATAACATAAGATAATATTAAAAATATATTTCAGATATTAGTACTTATTATCATATATGTTTTATTGTCTTAAAATCAAATAAAATGACTGAAAAACGGCATTTAAGGTACATGTACAAATGTAAAATATATTTATATTTATATTACTAAAACTAAGTAAGTTCATTTTCTCCGGCCCATCAATTAAGTAAGTTCTTTGTACATTATTTCGATTATAAAAATTAAAATGTATTATTTATGATGTGATTAGTTATGAATTTTACATTTAATTTTCTAGTCAGAATTTGTTTCATCTAAAAGGACAAAAAGAAAAGAAAAGAAAAATTATGTGTTTAAATTTCTTTGCCTTTTATCTTATTATTTTTTTATCATATTTATAAATCACTTTTAATATATTTAATATTTAAGAAAAGCTTTAAATTTTATTAACCCAACCTTAAAATTTAATAAGTTTTTAAATTTACCCAAAGGACAAAAAAATTATATTTAATAATTTTTTATAACATTTAATGAGAGTAAAAAAAATAAAAAATAAATAGGAGCAAAAAATTTTATAAATAAAATTAAAATTAATTTTTTTTTTATTTCATAAATAAGAAGGAGTATCTTTTAATTGGGACAACGGAATTGGATTATTTTTGTACTAAGCCTGATTAGTCGTGTCATCAATAAGTAGATCCACAATCAGTAGAACCCTTAAATTAGGTGCTTCTGTGATAAGCCCAAATAAATAACGGGTCCACTAGCCAATAAAAAAGAAAAAACAGAGAGAGAGAGAGAGAGAGAGACTCACTGGCCTAAAAGCTTCCCTATAAAATCGTTGCGAATACCTCAAAACCCTAGATCGGCTCGGACCCTCTCTCACCGTTGTAGCTTGTTACCCTCTCAGCAGCCACGAGGTAAAGAATTTCTCCGCAGTTCTTCTCTTTGGTTCACTATTTTGGGGTTCAGTTTCTAAAATTTCTTCGAAAAGCGTAAGGAATTTTCGATGTAGTGATTTTTTGTTTTTGGTAGAATAACTTGATGTATTGGAAATATTTGATGGACAACTTCATTTATTAGCTCGGTTATGTTGATTTTTTATGATACGAATACAATGACTTCCGTCTACATATGGTTTATGCTTGATTTTTTTTTTTATGTAAAACCATGACTACTTACTTAATGTTTGATGGGATCATGCAATCAAGTTGAAGTATTAATCTTATTCGAGTCTCTTTCCTTTCCTTCTCTTTCAAACCGTGAAGGTTTGTGTTATTCTAAATGGACGTTCTTGTTTTTTGCTCAGGGAATGGCTCCTAAGCAGCCAAGCACGGGTCTTTTTGTGGGGCTGAACAAGGGCCATGTGGTGACTAAGAAGGAATTGGCTCCGCGCCCATCAAATCGTAAGGGGGTAAGCTGTTTTTGATGCCTCAAATGTTTTTCCGTTGTGTGCTTACATTTGAAGTAATTTAAAAGATAGTATATTTGACAGCTATTGTTTACTGATGTCTGATAATTAAGCATCGCCCTGGGGTCTTCTAATAATTACTGAGATGAGATTTGTCTGTTATTAGATGCAATTTCCTGTACAAACCGCATTGAAAGTAACAAATTCTGTCGAAGTTCAATGGTACTCACAGCGGATTGCCAATTTTAGTACCAATAAGAATAGGAATATGAGTAGCACAAATTCTCTTTATATATACTTTTTGTATTACTGCCTTTTTTTACTTTGGTGATATTAACGGATAGAATGCCGGTTGCTCAATATTTGACACCTAGAGGCATATGATGATCCAGCGGAATATTCTAGGAGCAGATGTTTGATATGTCATTTTTTTTGCACTTATGTTTATTTTAGGACATTTACTTTGATTGAGCCTGAGAGTGCTTTGGTTCATGTTACACCTTTAAACTTTGTAATGCCATAGTTTAATTGTATTTATTTTGGAAGTTGATCTTCCTCATGCGATTATCACGTTGTTGTAGCTATTTTGAAATTTATTTTGTGGTATACACAGAAAACAAGCAAGCGTGTCCATTTTGTGAGATCGTTGATACGTGAAGTTGCGGGGTTTGCTCCATATGAGAAGCGTATAACTGAGCTTCTCAAGGTTGGTAAAGATAAAAGAGCATTGAAGGTGGCCAAGAGAAGGTTAGGCACTCACAAGAGGGCCAAGAAGAAGCGTGAGGAGATGTCCAATGTTCTCCGAAAGATGAGGTTATCCCACAATCTTTTAATGCTCTATGCTTGTGTTAATATCATGGTGGATAAAATGGCTGATTCATTTATTTTGATTAACTTGTTTGTAGTTAATACTTTTGCTTATTTTCTCTGTTATTGTGACAGGGCTGGTGGAGGTGGAGAGAAGAAGAAGGCTTAATTTTCCATTTTCACATGAAGCGTTGTGGCAGTGATATCTTAGTATTTGTGTTATTCAATTTTTAAAGTTGAGGACTAGATACTTTTAGAAACATGTTATTGTTTTGAGAAATGAAGAATGGCAAGTGTTCTTGTCTAGTTTTGTTTATTCCAACCAAATATTTTCTGTTTAGTCTGCATTTATTTGGTAATTGATTTCATAGTCCAATTCTTCTGCTTCTGAAGGTCCTCAATATTCTTACTTCGCGGTAATGGTTTGAGCGCTTGAGATGTTCTTGTGAATTCTACTATAAACAGCAGTATAGTAGCTCGATTTCTTTCCACTACTATTCCTATCTATTAAAAAAAACAAAAAGAAAGAGAACTGATTACAGGGATGAGGGATAGAAACATGAGAGGATGGAGCGTTCCAGCGAGCAAACTTGCTCAGATATTTTGGGTTCTTGAACCACTAACGTGTATTTTTGAAGCTTAATCCTCAACATATTTTCCACTAGGAAACTAGTTCAAACTCTTCTTTTATTTGTTAAAATAATATTTGCAAGATAATCGGCAGTATGGCGAGAAGATCCAGACTGCAAACTCTTGCTCGAGTGCGAGACATTATTAATCATAAATAAAGATATAGTCCATGGCCTCGAACGTCTTCTAGTAAAACTCCAATATTTGTCAAATTCATTTCTGCCATGAAACGCGATATAGTTAGAGAAACAAAGCATTAAGTTATAAAGCGTTCAATGAATAGTTCATGATCAACTGTGATTACAATTCCACGACCACGGGATGCTTTAGAGAAGTGACAAATTACATCCATTTTGCATCACCCTTTCGTCGGAGGAGCAACATCAAGTGGACGTACAATAAATTAGAGCATCTCACACGACCAAGCATCCATACAAGAATTAATTCGACTCCCATGGTGCCTTGCAAAGGCGAGCTTTGAGGGAGACACAGAGAGAGGAAGATGGCCTTGGTAATGAAGATACCTCTTTGGCAGTTTACAGATCACTAGCTAACATACTAAAGAGGCCCTGTTAAATGCTTTCATTACTATTTGGCCGTGTCATGTCATGCCTCCAATAGAAGGATATCATCTCCCTCCAATAGGAGGAACTAGCTGATATCCCTTCTTCAGAGAATAAATACCATCCCCAGAAGAATAGAAAGAGGAATTCGAACAATGGATCTAGTTACATAAATTCCTCGTGTCAGCTTCATTCTTCTGTCCAATTCTGCAAGGGTTTTCTTGTGATTTATCCTTCATCTGAACTCCAGTATAGAAATCTAACCTGAAAGTGGACATACACGAATTGAATCTGTTTAAAAACCGTTACGGACAATTTCAGAGAAGGGTAAGTAGTCAGATCCGAATAGTTCGGTTAGTTAATAACCACAGTTCATAGATTGGAAAACTGATTCATTTCTTGTGAGAGGACAGCTTAAATCGAACCGTCCCTAATTATCATTGGCCTCGTTTTCTAGTTGTCATTCCAAACATCTTCGTTTCATCAAAGAAGCAAGCTAAGCTCATTCTACATAAGAATCATGTGTCTTGTATTAAGTGGGATATTGATTGGTTATGTTCTTCTTGTCCCCCCCCCCCTTTTTGTAGTGAATATATCTCTCGAAGGTGAACTTTCATTTGGGGGACTACCATGACACACGAACCATTAGAAGTAGGGTTCGCCCAATCTTCACTTGAGGCGCTCGCCGTTCTAGGTCCTTCAGACATTTACCAAACTCCTGACTGGACCCACTTTTCTCACGTATCCCTGTCTCAGGACTTTGTACCCTTCCTCCTACCAACTGATGTTCTACCTCAGTTTGCCTGTTTGTTTCTGATACTTTGCAAGCATCCAACTCACTCTCTTTCATCTGTGGTTCTGCCAGTTGAGCGCGCTTAGCGAGGCTTGCTGGCTGAACTTGTTTGAAGGCTCAGGAAAGGAACCAACAGCCATGGGAAGTGGACTGGTACTGAGAGAATTCAAACCAAATGCTCCTTCAGCACCTTGGACAGATTCAATGACCCGCTTGAGCTTGGACAGGGAACGATTGACCTTGTTAATCTTCCGAGATGGCCAACGCGATATCCCATGCTGCCTACATATGCGCTTCATGGTAGTGGGGCAAACTGTACAGCAAGAGTGTGTCTGAGAAGAAAAAACTTTATAAAAGAGAGAATTTTTTGAAAAGAAGCCTTCCATCCCAAAACAAGGGGTGAGTTTACAGAATCGTTGGCTCAAAAGAGCTTCCAAATTAATTTGTAAATTTACATGGGAAACCCCCCTGAAAAAGCCGTCTGCTGTTTCCCACAGGGAGGCCATAAGAAAAGCTCTCTCATAAATCCCTGTTAACATTTCTCCACACAAAAAATAAAAAAATAAAAAAAATCTTTTATATGTAAATAAATGAGCAACTATTGATAACGGAAAAACAGTAACCTTTCATATGTTTTGGAGGTACGTTCTTTAATAAATCTATGTTTCAATTAGCAGCACATTCATAGAGATGAAGTAAGAACATTTCTAATAACAATGATTTAGATCACTAACATACCACCAAGACTCTTTGCAGCATCTTTAAGGCTCCCAGCGAAATAATTTTGCAAAACTTCAAGACTAATTGATTTTTCAGTTTTTCCCCGTTTTCTCTCAGAGGGTTTCTTTATGTTTTTAGTCCCCAAAGAAGATATATGATCAGAAGCTCCACCAGCTTTGTCACCAAGATTCCCTCGTCCATTTATATCATTCAAGAATACCATTTGCTGCTCTGACGTATCCAGTGGGACCATCTCCCCCATATTTGGCAAGGCATCAGGTCCATATGGCGATTTAGGAAGTTCGGCAATCACAATAGATTCAAGTCTTGAATAAACCCTTTCACTCGTCGTTTCAATGATTTCAACTGAAAATTCCTCCTCAAGTTCAAAACCAGCAGCTATCTTAAGACCATGAAAATGCTGTGTTTCATTGTTGCTACTATAGACCCCACATAGTCTTTTGTTCTTTTTAATTCTGTGACCTTAGGAGGCAGAAAAAACTCTAATATATAATCATCATTTCCAGTATGAGAGCTTTGCAAACAGACAGCAAAACAGCTGGTTAAGCCAAACAGGAGAGCATAATGTACTAAAGGGTACTCAATTTTGCAGAACCGGGTAATGTTCCCACAGAAGCACATATTGCCAGACAAAAATGCCTTCCCAGCAACCCCTTGGCCTTGTTGCAAGTGATGCTCAGCACAGGCTTCATGGAAACCCCACATATGAGCATCTATGACATAGAATGCAACATCAGTAGTAGACATGCAAACTTGCCCCATGCAACTACCATCAAAGCTGGAGCAGCTTTTCTTCAGGCCACCGCCATTGGCCAGAACACTCCGATGCCTACAGGGAACCCATGTTTGGGCCAGAGGTAATTTATGAGTTTCACAGACCACTGTCAATATCTCCAATATCTCTGCCAATGCATTCTGACGGCTTTCATTACAAATCTGGTTCAAAAGCATTGCCAAGTTATATCTGTGAGAATAGAGGGGTAAGATATACAACACCATAAATATACACACCTTTCAGTATACATCAGATAGGAATATAATATAGTTATAACCTAAAAATCACCTGAGTGAATGGATGCTCCAAAATTTCTGAACTCTTCAGATTTACTGCCTGCAGGAAAAACTGACAGCAGGTGATTAAGGAAATCCCATAAATGTTTATACTCATATAACATGTTCCAACATGCTAGCATCATGAGTATAAAAAGTCATGGATGCTTTGGAAATCAATCTTGAAAATGTATAACCATCACACAGTACACATGAAACTGACACTGCATGAGCAAAGCACAGTACTTGATATGGATAAAAAGGGTGGAAGAAACCCAACCTCAAGAGCTTTGCATATTTTATCAACCTCAGGGGCATAGTTAATCTTCTGAGAAGTCATTATCAACTCCAGAACACCAATACATGACTGCCCTGAAGGTTCAAACACAGGCAAAGCCAAGGTTCCACGAACATTGTAATGTTGAGCATGATTTCGGCGGGGATACTCTTTATTAGAATAATATTGAACATTGGGAGACCATTCTGGTAACTTCTGATGAAAAACACGACCAGGAAGGCCAAGGATTCCATCACTCTCCCCATCCACTGAAAACATGTACATAAGAGAGACTGTTCTATACTGATACAGTCCATTACTATGGGGATCAAGAACAAAGGGTTGCCCTGAAGTTGTAAGGACATACTGGTTCCCGACTTTCACAGGTGCCCAAACCTGAGCCAGAACATTCTGGTCAGTCAATTCTTTGAAGTACCTTAGTGCTTGTGTCATCCTTTCTTTAATGAAACAGTACCCATCTGGAGTTTCTAATGGTAGTGGTGGCAGGGCCACACACGGCGATGAGGTATTTTTGGTCTCCTCATTCTCCACTGGTTTTTCAGCTACTGAATTCGAATTGCCTGAAAACGGTAACTTCAGTCAGAAGAAATGCAGCTGCCCAGAAAAATTTGAAGTTTTGGCACCAAAACCATCGAGCTCAACATAACAGTATATTTAAAATAGAAAAACTAATTTCTGAATGTATAAATACTGCAATCATCATAGTAACGTCTTAAAAATCTAGGCAAAATTTTAAGACCCAATGAACAAGAAGAAAGTATAGAGAGTACTCTGGCCCATAAATATCAGCTTGCTCGAACACTGAAGAAAGGAATTAAAAGACAGGAGTATAAGAACACGAACCCATCAAGTAAAGTCAGCTATGTGGTTTAGTAAACGAAAATAAATATTTTCCAACTTTAATCGCAAAAGCAAGCAACAAGCTTCATTGAATTGGAGAATGCAAAGAAATCACAATCAATGAGACAGAGCTCCATTGCTATTTCATTTATGCTTTTTAATCAAGTTTCCCAGTTACCAAAAATAATTAAAACTTGAAGACAGTAGGGATTAAAATGAAATATATGAAACTTCCCAAAATATACACAGATTGAAGATGCCAAAAAAAAAAAATCTTTATCAACTTTATACTTTGCAAAAATATAATCATTGACCTTCTTATATTTTCAGGTCAAATAAAGCCCGTTTCAGTGAGTGGTAGCTTTTCAATTTACAACCAACTTGAAAAGATGCAAAATAAGCATTAGAAAAAGTCTCAAGAAGATGGATGAAAACTGCAAAATCCATTCAACAACGAATCCAAAATGGACGAAAACCATACAGGAGAGCAATCGATGGACGTCGGAGAGGGCCGAAGTGGCAAGTTTAGCTTGCCCATCATCGTCCAAGTCCGAGAAAAGCCAGAGAGGAGAAGAAGGTTGCTCGGAGGTGGAGGAGATCAGAAAAGGGGACATAGGGTTAGAGGTGAAAGCTATCTGATCTAAAGGCCAAGAAGTCTCTGGGTCGAGGTCGAAATCCATGACAGACCCAGGTTCCTCGGCGGTAGGCTTTGACTGGGGAGTAAGTTCGGGATTTTCGTCCTCGGAATCTGACATTTTCAGGGCCTCGATTTTCCAGGAAAAGTTGGATGTTGTGAAGAGGAGAAAGCTGAGAGGAGTGGAGGAGATTGGATGGGTAAATTCGCCAAATAGCAGCGGGAAAGAGGATGATTCCATTGTTAAAAATTACAACAGCTCCCGCGCCACTTGCAAGTTATGACAAGAAAGATTAAAATATTGAAAAATGTGGGGCACTGAATGCTTGGTCTTTTTTTTTTTTGGAAATGAAAATGGGATTAAATACTAACAAACTAACCAGAATACAAAATAAAGACTGCAAACAAAAAGAAAACAAGCCCTGCAACTTTCATCATCGGCTATACTATCGTGAAAATTCCAATCCCGAAGTGTCATGGCTCTAATGTCTCTCACAATGTTGGAGCAGCAGAAACAAGCAGTTGTATTCCTATTCATCCAATTATAACTTTGAGCACGGTGGACATTGACTTCAATAGTGATATCCTTTAGCCCAACGAAGTTGCAGACGCCTTTGAAGCACGCTAAGTACAGCACATTTACTGGAGCTATGATGTTGATTCTTGAAAAAACCAACTTTCCACTCCCCCTTCGTTTTTCCAAGTAATTCCCACTCCAGTGCTTCGCCCAAATGCTTTGTCTTTTTCATCGCAACATTTTCATTTCAAGCCACTAAGCAAAAAAAAAAAAAAAAAACGCTAAGCTGGCGACTCCCAGGTAGAGAGTACAGATGTTGGTGGCCGCTTTATCAGGATTCTGGAGGAACAAATTGGCGTAAATTATTTTAAGATTCCCCTTAACATCATTAATTACTTCTAAATTCATTAATAACTTTGTCATTTTCCTAAGTTTAGTTATTAATGAATGAAAATAATCAATTATGTTGGGTGAGATTCATATATAATTCTTTCAAGAAAATATTTGATTTTTGACGTCATAATTATTGTTATTTCTTTCTTGGCCTGTGATGTTTCTTTTTTTTTTTTTACCTGAACCAATGAAATTATTTGATTCGTAAGAAAACAGAAAAGAACCTGGACAAACGAGAATAAAAATCTGCCGGTCACCTGTTGACTTATCAAGCAGATCCAATCTCTTGTATAGGGACGTGGATTGGAATTTTCTTCCTCTCCGTGACGTAAACAGTGAATTGTGAATAATGTGAATTTTTATTTAATAATAATGTTAACTAGGCACTGTCTTTGACTTATAAGATAACAACAGATAAAAAATTTAAATAATGTATTTTCTAATTTCTATATTTTTGTTTATATCCACATAGATGACAACAGATATAAAGCTGGAATACGTTTTATGTCATGTTTGTATAAAATTCATGAATAAGTAAATAATTTTTTCCCTTAGGGATGATGTTATAATTTACATATTTAGTCAGTTATTTTAGAGAAAATTGTTTTAATATTCTTAATTTCAATATTAGTGAGTCTTGCTAAATAATTTTGTCACGAACTTGTCTTTCCAAGACAAACAATATAGAGATAGTATGACCCAACATATGTAAATATTAATTAATTGACATAGAATTTATTGATGATTTTCTTCTTTTAGGATATAGTATCACTCAAAAAGAATTTAAAATTGACTGAAACTTAATTGTAAAAATCATTTAGAAAATAAGAAAATTGTTCCACAAGCTAACGCATTAATCGTAATGTAACTTAATTGTAATGAAATAAAAAAGGGAATAATAGAAATTTTTTATAGATGCTGCTTTCAACTTTTAAAAAGATATATAAAATAAAATAAAAAAAAATTCTCCCAAAAAGACTTATGTTTTGATATGGAGAGATTAATTAACATTTAACAAACAATTATGTCAATGGCAAGCATTAGCATATGTCGGATCTTATGCATTGCCAGTTTGCCACATTCAACCTTAATGCTTTCAAGCTTTTTTTTTCTTAAATCAACTTGGCCAAATTTAATTCTTTCCAACCGAATTTTTCTTCTTCTTTTGTTTTTTTCTAATAATAACACGGTTACAAGAGTATTCAGTTATACTCATATAATAGGATAGAACATATTTTTATTAAATATGGATATATTATTTTTCTTCATATGACACCAACAGATAATTATTAATTTCACCAACCAAAATAGAACTGACTTAATCAATTAAGTTGCCTTATAATATAATGCTATAAATTTAGATATTTTAAATATTTTTTGTTGAGGAATATTTATTAGTTATGATACATGTTTGTGTCTTAAAGCTAAAATAATCTATATAAAAATATATTATATAAATTGTTGTTGGATTTTGTTTGTAATTATAGAAATGTCTCATTTATTTTCAAGATCACTGTAAACTATCTATAATTATATTGAAATTATACAAATATTATCTCTACTTAAAAAGATACACGAGTTTTTCCTAATTTTTTTTTGGTAATTTAAGTAAAACCTAAAAGAAATCAACACGTTGTTTCTTTATTTTCAAGATAAATATATGTCAATTTAAAATATAAAAATATTTATATAATTTTGGTGAATTTTAGAATATTTTCATATAATTTATTTTAGATTAAAAATATTTTTTCGATTTCAAAAAATTTAAAAATATGCATAATTTATTTATATGATCATTCAACAAAGTTAAAGAATTTATATTCTCAGTGTGGTTTCTTAAAAGTTAACAATGTGTGATTGGCTGTAGGCTTTGGTCACCCCGAGATCATACACCCTAGAAATTATAAGATAAACTCGACCAATTTGATTAAAAAGAAGCATTTCATTTTTTTTCTCAAACAAAAATAGGAAAACTTATTAATCAAATGCCTTTTCACAGACTCAGTTGCTTTATAAGGCAACCTTTCATAGTGCCACCGAATTTTTTTCTTAAAAAAAAATGCAAAATAGAATATTGAAAACAAAAGGTGGTTGAATTGAATCTGAATCTAACGCCAGTTTCAGCCACTTTTTACCGATTACGACAAGTCAGTAATAAAATATTGGAAATTAAAAATCAGAAAACGAAGCAACGAGTGGGCGTTCCAATTGCGTAGTCAACAATCCATTACATTTTGTTAATTATTGTGGGAGAATTTTTTTATTTGATGTTTAAGGTTAGAGTTAATGTGTGTTTTTTTCAAGTTAATGGTAGGGTTCAAGCATTATAAGTTTAAAAATTAAAAAAAGTTTTATATATTTTAAAAATTAAGGATTCATGTATTATGAAATTATTCAGATAATAGTTTAAAATTTAAGTTACTCATTAATCTTTAAAATTAATGCAAATTCTTTAAAAGCTGATTACAATCACACTTTTTTGAACAAAGGGTACGACTAATAAGTTAAAACAAATTGAGAATGTTAAAAAACGCAGGGCTAAGTGGAGTTTCCAGTTGCTTAGTATTAATTATTATTTTTTTTAACTTGTTTATAGGTATTTTATTGAAAGCAATTATATTTGGAATACAATCTGTAACAAAATATAGGTAGTTTTTTAATAAAAATTTAAATATTAATTTGTTATGTCATGAAACATTAACTCTTTTCGTTAAACCTAATCTCATTTGATTATTATTGATTCTTGTTTAACAACTTGGTGACTTCGGTGGTCATTGAATTTTTAAAATTGATTGAATTGTATTAATCACTATTATTTGCGTTTTCTGGTGTGTGCATATTGTCCATGAAAAGAAATAAATGCCGTACTGTTTTTAAACTGTAAATAGCAAAATAGGAATAACGATAAGATGACAAAAATTTATAGTAATTTCTTATCGTTAAACTTTATTAGTTAATAAATGGCATTAGTTTAATACGAACTGAGATAGGGACGGGGGAGGTGGTAACTAAGGATGGGTGACCCCACTAACCAAAAAGGAAAATTGAATTTCTTTTGCCAAAAAGAAAATTGAATAAGCGATTTTGGGGCACGCATGTGACAATACACGAGCGAGACAAAAGCGGTAGTGTGGATAAACATGATGGAAAGAGTTGTCTTTTTCACATTTTACCTTTTTTTTTTTTTTTCTCACGAACATGGAGGGAGATTTCCAAGGGGAAAAAGTTTTCTTTGATATATATTGATGTAATTATAATTTAATCCCTCTTTGGTCCCAAAAAAAAAATTAATTCCTCAATTCCTATGCCACCTCTAGGAGGGGCATAAGAGCAAATCCTATCATTATTAGAGTCGATAATTCGAGTCAAATTTAATAGATTAGTCCGAACCCTTTCAAAAAATTAAGATCGAGTTTAATTTTATAAAATTTTTTAAGATGATGAGATACTTTAAGGCTGATCCAAAGAAGCCAGTTTAAATTAAACTCGATTTAAATAAATTCAATCATTGAAATTTCTTGCCCTATATATACAGAGTTTGCTATATAGATTCTTTTAAGAGAGTATGATACTTTAAACTCGATTCAAATAAATTTGACCCGCTTAAATTACCGAGTCTAATAATAATTGATCTTGATTATGGCTCCCATTTTGAATAAACTACAAGTCATTTGGTGGCTCATCATCATCCTTGTTATCTGCCCATACTAACATGTCTGGGGATGAAGTGGCTAGTCACTGAGTTTTAATTGAATCAGAATTAAATTGTATCAAGTCAAAATTTAAGACTAAATTTTAATTAAATTAAAATTATAAAAATAAAAATGATTAATTTTCTAGTTGTCTAATTTAAATGGTTTGGGTTAAATTGATGGTAAGCCCCGACCTTAGCTAATTCAAGAGAACAATCATGAAAGCTCCAACCACGTCCATTAAAGGAAAGTCACTGATGCAGAAGGATTATAAGACCAAAAATAATCTTTTAATGACCACAAATATATGTTAAAATATATTCTATTCATTTAAAAATGTAAAGTATTTTTTAAAAAATTTAATATTAAAAAATATGATATCTTTTAATGTTTTAAGGTATAATCATTATTTTTTGTTTTAAGTGTCCCTATTGATAAATGCTTTTATATTTGTTGTAGGGTGTTTAGCAAGGGTAAATATGAAAAGATAAGGTTAATTTACAAGTAGATAACTATTTTATTGAGGGGTGAGAATTTAGTTAAAATATCTTATATTTTTAATTGGAAGGAGTAAAGAAAATGCCAGGATTTAAAAGAACAATAAAGAATAAATGGACCATGAAAATCATGCACTGCTTACTCT